GGACACTTGCCAGGCACATGTTCACCCCAGTGATTACACATTCCACCCAGCACTAGAGGGTGCTTTAAGGTAACAACATGCTCTCTGGGACTCTTAGAACTCTAGCTGCCCTCTTCCTCTTAGCCTGCTTCTTTTGGGAATGGCAGCACTTATTTCAGTCATCTCATTATTCTAAGGCTGGAGTGTGTGTAGATTTATCTAGATTCTTATGGCTTCTGGTTTCTCAACCTACAGGGAGAAATGTTCCCTTCACTTCCTTGTCTCAATGGAATCATGGAATCATGACATATGCATGACACAATGGGGTCAATGACCGAGTTTAGTGAGGGAAATTGAACAAGCTACCCCCAATCAATTGATTCCCTCCACCAAACAGGGTAACAAAGGTAAGAGACAAGTAACAGACAATGAGGTGTTAAGATCTCAAAGTACAAAGAAGTAACATTCTGTTATCCCTTTATAAAATGTGCAAAAAAGTTCTTCAGGAAGGTTTGAAGTGCTAAATAGCCATTGGCTCTTCAAAAAGCAATACATATTCTCCAGCCACAGAGTAGAAGGAGAGATGGGTCTGAAGAGTGTGAGCTCCAGTAGTCAAAAAGAGATCCAACTATGAAAGAACTCAGCTCTTCGATGGGAATCATTACCTGTCTCTTGGAGAACTAGAAGGGAATTGTCTCCCCTCTCCACTCCCATCAGCCATGTCATCTTGCAGCAGAGATGTTCAGCCAATAGAAGCTGCTGCAATCATCAGGGGACAGGCCTAGTTACTCAAAGCTTAGGACCAGAGGTGCTTTGTGAGTTACCCTGGCCATTTGTAGAGAGGAACAGGACCAGGAAGCCCAGGTGAGCAACTCACTCAGCAAAAACTATGTGCCCAGGAAGAGCAGCCTGAGGATGCTATGTAAGGGGCCCTGCAGTGCTGGAAATCTGAGTGATCTGGCTCACATACGCCATCTCTGTATGTTCCTCTCTCCTAGTGTACCTCATATGTATCCACTTTTCTCTATATACTTTTCTATATACAATTGTGGGAAAGGGTCCCCTCAGGTTAATGGGAGAAATGCTTTGTTACTATTGTTCCTGTGATACTTTTGCTTGAGCTTATTTTTCCTAGCAGCTGAGCACCAGTGGGGATTTGGGCCTGAATGCAGGCTCCTGGAGTACTTGAACTTGAAGGTTCACGTTCCAGATATAGCCGCTGAATAATTGCCATGATTCTTCACTGATGGTGAGTCCTGTCCAAATAGGAAACTGATGGGGCGAGAACAATGAACACAACTAAATTAGTGTCAGCCAGGTTTTCAAGCTCTTTTCTTGATACTGTACCAGTAACCCTCCTCTGCCTCACTCTGGTTCAGGCATCTGGACTGATAAATCAAGAAGGAGCATTCAGGCCAGAAACAAATGAAACAATGATACCCCTTTTGCCTTCAATTAAACAGAATGTGTGCTATTGTAATGAAGACTGCCCTGGTTCCAGTTGACCATGTGGAGGCTTTAGGGTCTGGGCTCTTGTTGAGGTATCACCCTGAAGGGTACAAGTTGGGGAGGTGGCCCAGAGGGGGCACTACACAGGCACTTCATAATTGTATACAATCCTTTACTCATAATCAGAAGGAAAAATAAATTCTTTTTTTTGGTTTTGTTTTGGGTTTTTTCTTTTAGGCAATTGGGGTTAAGTGACTTGCCCAGGGTCACACAGCTAGTAAGTGTCAAGTGTTTGGTCTGAGGCTGGATTTGAACTCAGGTACTCCTGATTTCAGGGCTGGTGCTCTATCCACTGTGCCACCTAGCTGCCCCCAAGGGAAAATAAATTCTAATAGGAAGTCTTGTTCAGTTGTGTAACTGATTCCTGGATCTTCCCATTCGTTAGTCAGACTGTAAGAGACTCCCCCCCCCCAATCACTTTCTACTTCTTGCTTATCACTGATGGAGTAACAGATGTGGCCTCAAGGACAGATGTTGAAGAAGATAGCATGGTACAGTGGAAAAGGTAGCAATGCTGGAGTGAGAGGACATAGCTTCAAATTCTACTTCTGATACTACTTGTGTGATTTTGGGCATTTCAATTAACCTGTTGGACCTAAGTCTCCTCATCTATAAAATGAGATGTTTGAGCTAGATGGCCTTTGATGCTCCACCAGATGCTTCCAATCTATGAAACTCTGATTCTCTTACCACACTCATGATTCCTCTATTTTCTTTTTGGAAAAAAAACCTCACAGAAACAATGCCCTCTTTTTCCCCAGACTTCTGGGCTACTTCTTCTCCAGACCAATCCTATCCATCTTCTCTTTGGTTCTTTATAATATTGCCTTGCCATGAGAAACTTTAATCATGGGGCCTCCCACTCCCAAGCCATGCCTGTAATAAGAGAACTGTTTGTGATCACCACAAGTTAATTTCATCATGTAAGACATTAAATCAGTGAGGCCCTCGTCAACACGATCAACATCTAACATGTAGCTGGTATTAAAATGAAATACTTCCCTGTGAGAAAAGAATGATTCTGCCATCATTTCCACAAAACATGAACTCCATCAGGCAAATAGAGAGGTCAAGATGGTGGGCATGGAGATTGGCATTAACTATATCAACCATAGTTGACAGAAGTCTTATAAATTAGAAATTCTCCCTCTTCAAGAGAGTAGCATTATTATGGTTTCTAAATAAGTAGTTGTTCAGAGAGAACAGCACTGTTGTTCCCTAATTCTCCCTCCATCTTGACTTTCTGGGCTCAGCAGCAAGGGATTTCAAACCTAGATTAATCTAAGTACTTTACTGAGTTTAGCTCAGGCTAGCAGCTACAGAGAATAAGTTTGCTGCACAAACATAGCCTGAATTCCAACTTTCCTTAGAAATAGAGGACTACGTTTTCAGTCATCGTACTCACATTACTCTCTTCTCCCTCCCATCCCCATGATGTTTAAAAGTATCACCCCTCCCTCCCACCTTCCAAAATTTAGCTCAAATATTCATCATAGATCACTTTAGACCATTGGGACACACTGGCATAATTCTTCCACCTTCCCAATCCCAATGCCGGTTGCGGGGGAGGGGCTGAAATGTCTTTCTGGTGGCAGTGCTGACAGACTTGCAAGACAGTGGTTTGACCTTTCTTCTAGTTACTTCAACCTCATCTCTAGCGGCTTAATATTCTTGTGATTGTCAGGTAGTTGGTTTTGCTCCTGTTACTCTCTGATGAAGCCTGCTATGCCCCCTCTACAAGGTGTTATATTTTCATCTTTCTATAAGCTGTTAGCCCTTTCTTCCCATGAATTCTTTGATATTAAATTCTTACGAAAAATAATACATCTCCATATTCCCCTAGGTGAAGTCAAAGCTAGCAAGGTTAGTTTTCCTGAGGAGCTTAAATACACAAGCATTCTCGTGTATGACACCTATGTAATGCTGGAAACACCAAACTACAGGATGGATCTGTGAGTGCAAGGAATTCCTAATGTGTGTACTCCCTCTTCCAAGACAGATCCACACATGCCCATCTAGAGGGAGGCAGCAAGTGGTCATTCCCAAAGTGAGCTCTTGCAATGGTGAACTGAACTCAGAATTTGCCATATCCCAATAGAGTTTCCTAAATCACCTTATATCCCTTGGACCAATTTCATCTCAAAAGTCTTCTTCTTCACTACTATAAACAACTTGACCTCTTCAGAGCTAGAAATAGAGGGGAGGGTTGGCCTTTAGCATATACCCATTAATTCTGGAACTATCTCCCTTTGGAGAACATATGTGTCACTGCATTACAAAGAGGCCTTAATGCTGTGTCTATGAAAAAGAGAGGGGGAGAGGGAGGGGGAGGGGGAGGAGGAGGGAGAGGGAGAGGGAGAGGGAGAGGGGAAAGGGAGGAGAGGAGGGGGAGGGAGATGGAACACTGAGACACCTACCTTGATAATTCATCTTTGCCCTTTCACCCAGTTCCCCCCAAAAGCAACTTTTCCTCAGTTATTTGGTCGCGTAAACTGTTCATTTGGGGATCTGACTTACCTAGAAGCAGAACTGCACAACGGAAAGAAGAGTAGGCTGGAAGGGAGAACTGGGTTCAGATCTCGCCTCTACCACTTATTAACTGAATGATCCTTGCCTATCGTTTGAAAACTGAAGCGAATAATGCTGTAGTATTTCTCTCCAAGGCAGCTAGGTGGTGCAGTGGATAGAGTGCTGGGTCTGGAGTCAGGAAGGCCTGAATTTAAATCCAGCTTCAGACATTTGTTAACTGTGTGACCCTGGGCAAGTCACTTACCTCTGTTTTTCTAAGTTTCCTCATCTGTAAAATAAGCTAGAAAAGGAAATAGCAAAGCACCCCAGTATCTTTGTCAAAAAAAAAAACCAAACCCAAAGGGGGTCACAAAGAGTCAGACCCAACTAAAAATTGATTGAACAACAAAACATATCTCCTAAAGTAGTTGTGAGAGCTAAATTATGAAATAATGGATGTAACATGCTTTGCAAACCTGGAAGCCTACCTAAAACTTATTATTAGATTATTGGTTCAGTGCTAGATGTTATTTTGTGCGTGTAGACTCAAATTCGGAGGTTGATTGTGATGGGCACTCTATCCTCTAAGCTTGAGAGGGTGAAAGGAATAGCATTATCTGATTTAACAGGTCAGTCTAGGTTTGTAAAAAGATTATTGACCTTGTGAAACATGAGTTAGAACACTGACTCTGACACTTGCTACCTGTGACCTTGAAAAAGAAAGTCTGAATGTCCTTGAAAATCAGTTTCTTCACCTGTCAGATGGGAAGAAAAATATTTACATTAGTTACCACATAGTACTGGTATGAGGAGTGGCATCACTCTCTTTTAAGTGCTCTACAAATGTGAATGAGGAAGCACAGTAGCCAGGATGGACTATAAAACTTCATTTACTGAAACAAAATGTAGCGGACTTCACTGACGCCAATGACAGCCTTGATTCCAACATCGAGTTTACAAGCTATTAATAAGTAAAGAGTTGGCAGGGCCATTTTGCATAGAGAACTATACAAAGAAAATTGAAAGGCCAGATCAAATGAGCTTTAAAACAATCATTCATTTTGAATGATTACCAGTAACCAAAAGAAATCATTCTGAGTCCATTCCCACCTAAGCCTGGTTAAGTCCTGCAGAAAGTAAAAGAACTGATTAAGTGGCGAGAGAATTTTGCTGCCGGATTAAAACTCAGTTCTTGAGGCCTGTCCCCAGCACATTTACTTCAGACTATTTACATGCTGGAAGGCCTTAGGGACCCACAGTGCAACTGTCTGAAATTTGCATTTTGATTTTAGAGACCAGAGTTGAAAATACATGTAATTCAACTAAGCAAAAGATAGTAGTTAAAGGCATTGAGGGAGATTCTGTAGGTTCTTTGTAATGTATAAAATGGGATGCAAATATGTTATGTCATCCTTGAGTAGGCTCATCTGTAGGGATTTCCTCTGAGACAGTTTGTATGTTGGCCACCACATTCTTTGGTGGTCTAGGCAACTTCTTCCATTTCCTAGCTCCCGACTTGCTGTTATATTCATATACATTCCCTGTGACTGTTGGAAAAAAAGCATACAACAGAAAAAAAAACAGGTAGTGAGTTGTACATATCTTCCAAGTTGGGCTCTATATAAAAATGGCAAACATTGATAACAGACATTAAAGGACTTCACAGTTCAAGATGCCCTCTAAGGTAAGAAGCCTCCTAGGAGGAGTCCTGGGAGGTTTGCTCACCCCATCCATCCTGGAAAATAAAGGCAGGTTCAAAACAATGAGATGCAAGACTATCTTGAGACATACAGCTAAATAGACACAGCTGTTAGTCATGAAAAAGGCCTTCGCTCCAAATTTTGTCCCAAAAGACAACTCACTCACTTTTTGAGCCAGAAAGGATCTCAATAACCACCTAGTCCCATTAGAACAGGTCCAACAAGTGGTCAACCAGCCATTACCTGGAGAACTTCTAAGAGGGACACTCTACCACCTCTTGAAGTGGTCCACCTCACTTTAGGACAGCGCTTTCCCTGAAATTACATTCTTTACTTCTGGGGTGGAGAGGGATTTCCTTCTGTGAGTATAAATGTGAAACTTTAATTCACTGATTCAGCCTTTACTGATATAGCATCATAGGAAATATAAGAATTGAGAAAACATCAGAAGCCATCTCATCCAACTCTTTCATTTTACAGATGAAGAAACTGAGGTCCAAGGAAGTAAAACGACTTACTCAAGAACATGCAGGTAACAAGCATCTGAGGCAGGATTTGAACACACATCTTCTGACTCCAGAGCCAGTCTCACAACAACCATATGTGATACATAAGTCAGGTTATGCTACCCCCATTTTCAGATGAGAAGACAGACTAGTAAAGTGAGTTGCCCAAGCTCACATAGACATTAAATGTCAGAGGGTGAATTTGAACCCAGATCTAAAAACACCAGGGCCACTTTTTTTCCATCATACCATACTCCTAGAAGAGCAGGACCTTATGGCGCAGTCCACATTCTACAGATGAAGACTTTAAGAATATATTTTGCAGAGTTGTAAAGATGGTATTTTTCTAGAAAGGGCACTGGACTTAGCATCATAGATCCAGGGTTCAAATCTGTGCTACTTGCTGTGTGATCTTGAGTAAGATTCTTGAGGGCAAGACAAGCACTATTTCATTGCCATCTTTTTCCTCCAGGCATTTATCACACAGTTGAATAAATGATTGTTGATCAATTGATCTGGAAACTTGAAGTCCTAGACTAGATATCTCTAACTACCCACCCCCTGGCTATCTCTAAAGGTATGATCCTGTGATCCAAGGGGAATACAGCTTTGAGCTTAGGTCTATCCAAGCTGAAAGGGCCCTGAAATAACTTAATCTACCCACTCACCAATTGTGGAACTGCTAAGAGTGGTGGCCATGGTACCACCTCCCCACCAGCACACAAATCTGTCCTCTAAGTCAATATTACCTGTTGGAAACTGTGAGTGGGCTATTGAATTTGAAGTTTCATACTCAGTTTCAAAGTAAGCCAAACTCATCCCATCCTTATTCTAAAAACTCAGATCATGACATTCTTCAAACATGGACTTGACCGAGAGACTTTATTTCCTCTTTCGTCAACCACAGCTTATGGCTCTGTCAGAGCTGATGTCTGCGTAGCATGAAAGTTTCCAATGTATTGTACCATTTGCACTACAATGTATTTATTAGATCAGGTGGAAGCTAAATGTTCGTGAAAGAACCCAACACTCATATGGCACAGTAGAAAGAACACTGGGTAGGGAGTCAGAAGACCTAGGTTCAAGTCTCAGTTTTGTCACAAACTACCTATGTGACCTTGAATAAATCACTTAATTTCTCTAGGCCTCCATTTCTTCATTTGAAAAGGATGGGGTTGGGCTAGATAACCTGTAATGTCTCTCAGGGCTCTTAAATCCACAATCTAGTGGATTCTGGTATAGTTGCTTTATTATGCCATTTATGTGGATGTCCTAGAGAGGTAGGTGGCGTAATGGATAGAATACTGGACTTGGAGCCATGAAGACCTGAGTTCAAATCCTGCTGCACAAACTAATTAGCTTTGTGACTATGGGCAAGTCACTTAAACACTCTCAGTCTCAGTTTCTTCATCTGTAAAACAGAGATAATAAAAACACCTCCCTCTCCAGGTTGTTATGAGGATCCAATTATATCTATATCTATATCTATATCTATATATCTATATATATATATATATAGATATATATATATATATACACACACACACACATATATATATATAATATTTTTGCAAGGCATAAAGCTCTCTATTATATTATTATTATTATTATTACATGCTGACAAAAACCTAATTTTAGCTAAGAATAAACAGAAATCAACCAATCAACATTTATAATCACTTCTAAGCACCAAGAATGTGCTGAGCACTAAGGACACAGAGACAAAAACTGAAATAGTACGTGTCCTCAAGGAGCTAACAGGTAAGACAACTTGCACATATAGAATTACATACAAAATAAATACCAAATGAACACGAGGATGTTTGGAGTTAAAGGGCTTGAGCCACTGCACAGTACCAAAAAGGCCTCATAAAGAAGGTAGGTCTTGAGCTGAATCTTGAAGGAAAGCAGGGATTCAGAAAGTAAGGAGAGTGAAGGGGGTTGTATATTCCAGTGTGGGGGGACAGCCAGTGCAAAGACATAGAGTTGGGAGACAGAGCATTGTATGAGGAACAGCAAGCAGACCAGCAATGCCGGACCGTATAGTATGTGGAAAGGACTCCCGTTTCAGGAGACTAGAGGCGTAGGAAGGGGCCAAGTTGAGAAGACTTTTAAATATCAAACAAAGGAGTTTGTATGTGATCGTAGAGGCAATAGAGAGCCTCCCAAGGCTCATTAAGAAAGGATTAATATGGTCACACTTAAACTTCGGGATCAGGAGAGATCTGGTCGGTCTACAGAGGATGGATTAGCAAGGGGAAAGACTTGAAGCAAGAAGCACAAATAAAAGACTGTTTCAATAATCCGTGTGAGAGGGGAAGAGGGCCTGACCTAGGGCAGGGCTGCTGTGAGAAGAGATGAAGAAAGAGATGCAGTGAAAGGAGACACAATGAGATTTGAACACGGATTGGATGTGTGGAGTGTGGTAGGATGAGGAGTTGAGGAGTTGAAGATCACACCAAGGTCGTGAACCTGCGAGACTGCAAAGATGATGGATACCTCAACAATTATAGGGAAGTTCAGAAGGGGGTATTTTTGGGTGGGGAGGGACACTGAGTTCTGTCTGGGGCATGGTGAATTTCAAGGTGCAAAGGTAGAATAGTGAAAAAAAATTGGTAAGAAAAATAAGGAGGAGAGCTATAGAAAGAGCTCTCAATTGAGCACCAAGATGTGGATGGATTTGGGTAAGAAATGGGGACTAAAGCAAGTTTGCATCCTTATATGATTTCACCTGGTGTCCTCTGCATCCAATGTCATCTGCCTTTCTGATCTAGCCCTGCTAGGACTCTATCCTTATTCCAAAATCTTCCCCATCCTCCCCCAGCTTCCTGTCTTAATCATAAAAAGATGAAGCCAGGTCTAGAAGGCTATTGGGAATTAATACTTGGGAATTTGCATTCATATTCAATTGCTTAATATTGGTTTCAGTTTACTAATTCACCTAAACCCTCAAACCTGGTAGAAGCAGCTAATGCTCCTTCATTTGGCCATCACTGGGATTTGGTGAATGTTATTACATGAATTTCCAGTGGCAAAGTAACTTCTCTTCCTATTCATAGATTCAGAGTCACCAAATGTTAAAAACCTTGAGAGATTTCCTCATACAGGAATTTTTAGTCTTTTTTACATCATGGACCTCCCTTTGGTAGTCTGGAGAAGCCCATGAAACCCTTTCTCAATGTAATGTTTTTAAATTCACAAATAAAATTCATAGGATTTCCAAGGAAATCAGTTATAATGAAATAGTTACCAAAACACATACAGAAAAAAAAAGAGTCCATAAACAATAGATTAAGAACCTCTGATTCTATTCCAAATTCCCTGATGAACAACTAAGGAAACTAAGTGAGCAAATGAAGATGGTTCTATGGTGCAGTGGAAAGCACACTAAATTTGGAGATGGAAGCCCTGGTTTCATTACGTATTACTAGTGTGACCTTGGATGAGTCACTTGATTTCCCTGGGCCTTGGTTTCTACATCTGTAAAATGAGGGGGCTGGGTTGGATGGCCCCTGAGTTCCATCTAGCTCTAGAGCTATGTTTTTATTGGATGCCACTTAACCCTCTGGGCCTTGGTTTTAACGTGTATAAAATGTGGTACACTGGTACATACTATATAGCAAATCTCATTTTTCAAGCAAGAAGGCAGGAATTATTAAATATATTATTTCATTTGGTGGATCAATATGTCTCTAGTACCCAAATATTATTTTGGTTCTAAACAATTTACTATATAATTAAAAATTTTGTGTTGTATTAGAAAGACTACTGGAGAAGGGGTCAGGAAACTTGGATCTGTGGTAGCATCCTGGGCTACCCAAACCATTTCATCTCTGTGGGGCTCAAAGCTATCCATCCACTGAGGAAAAGAAGATACTAAGAAAAGCTTCTACTTAGCACTCGAATCGGTTGTGTGGCAGAAGAATGCTTCTCTGCTCTCACTTTGTTAAAGTCTATTGAGCCTGGTTCTATTGTCATAGTCCCTGAATAGTAAAATATTTTTGAGAAGGTATCATTTTGGTCAGTTACAATCATCTTTTTTTCCCAAAGGAATTAATGTTAGATTGCGCATTGGTTAGTTTTACTAAACTGACTTTTTTTCTCATCCCTTTTGAATTCTATATTTAAAAGGATAGCTTACTCAGTTGATGATTGAGGATTTATATGCACATACATACACACACGCATATGCATGTATATATATATATATGTATGCATATATTATAGGCATGTGTGTATATAGATACATATTACATATACATACATGTTTGGAAATGAAGGTGATATAAAAACAAAAAAAATACCCATTAAAAATTTTTAAGGAAAAATGTGAACTATTCAGCACCTTGGAGGCAAAATTTGCTTGGTGTAACTTCTAAGGCTCTTAAATGCACCCTTAAAGGGATGGTGACGTTCTATTTACTCTTTGTATCTTGTGTGTTCTTGTTTCTATACGTGGGATAACCCCATTAGAATGTAAGCTTTTTGAGGTTAGGGACAGTTTTTGTTTCTTCTTTAAATCTCCAAGTGCTTACCACAGTGCCTGGCATATATTAAGAGCTTAGTAGAAAATTATTGATTGGCTGGTTGGTTTAGTGTGAAATTGGGTCTCTATCTGAATTATCCTGTCACAGATTCACCTTTTCAGTGAGTAAAGCCTCCTTACTGGAGAAAACAAGCATGATCACAGTAGACTAAACTAGAATACACGGGAACACTCACAGAAGAGAAAACTTGCTGGGTGTCCACACAGTGCAACTGTGCTCTTCTCCGTGACACAGGGTTTTAACTGGACCAGTTTATCTCACTACTAATCAGCCAGGTCACTCCAAAGGTAACAGGATTTGGGCCAGTCTTACATCAGCTGCAACTGTTGCCATCATTGCTTGGATACCCTAGCTTGCTGCTATCTCCACTGGCTAGAAAGGCAGCCTACTTACTTTTGGAGTAATTTACTTGCTCCCAGGGGCTCCTCTGGGTTCCTAAGATAGAATACCACTACCACCTAGTTTCAATTCCTATCAGAGAAACCTTTCCAAGAAAAGATGCTTGAATGATGCTAATCACAATGCATAACTGAGTCAAGAATAGCATAGTATGACAAGTATGACTATAAGAGTACATTTAGATAAAGAGGGTCTGACCCCCAAAGACGTCTGATGCATTGTACCTGGATCAATTGCTTCTTCATCAAATACTGTCTCATACACAATTGTTTCCTTGAAAAAGGACAAATTATTACAAATAAAATAAGTTACCATTTTGATATAGAATGAGTTTGGGATCTTGGGGGAAAGGGTGTGTTGCAATTTCAATATTTCTAGAAGATGAGCCCCTCATAGCTTCCTTTTCTTATCCTCCTGGGCAGTCTAAGGTTACTCCTGGGTGGTCAGAGTAGACAAGAGTTTCCACAATATGCTATTAAGGTCACCCAAAGTTTAAATACAATGTAATCTCTTGAAGGTAGGACTTTCACTTTTGAATTTGTATCCCTAGCATGTAGCAATAGGGACATATGATTTCACGGCTCAGGGAACTCCTAGGTGAGATAAATTACCTCTACTAATGCAGGCTGGCGTCTTCCTTTGCCATTTATACTATTAGAGAGTGGTCTAGAAAATTGAGAAACCAATTGCTTGGCTCAGATTCACACAGCCAATATGTTTCAATGGTAGAACCTGACCAGGTCTTTTTGGCTTCAGGGCCAGATCTCTATCTCCTAAATCATTCTGCCTGGCATAGAGTAGCATCTAATAAATATTTCTTTGATTTAATACAGTAAATTCTACCACCAAAATCTTCATGTTCCTCAAGCCACCCTTTAAAATTGCTATTTCATTTCCCTTGTGGGTTCATTTATTCCCATATTAATATGGATTATTTACCAGATACTTTAAGTCAAACACTAGGACCTTAACAGAAGAGGTGGGGTGAGTGATTTCTACTGAGGAGAAAGAGTGAATATGTTCTAGAATATAAAATGCTGCTTTAAAGGGAGGAGGAGTAAAGCAGGCTCAAGTAGTTTGGAAAGTTAAAGGGACTTGGGTGGTGTGAGAGTCAAAGGGGAGACATAAAGAGGAGAGTAAAGACACCACAGTTATAAACCTCTTCCCCATCTCACTGACACATTCTATTTGCCTGCCTGAGATTGTTTGTGGATAATTTAATGAATTATTCAAAGTCTATTTCAAGGTGTCATGAGAATTTCACCCACCTCTATGAGACTCCAAATTAGAGAATCCTTTCTCCTATAAGGACCACTCTCTCTGTGATGGTACGTGGTCCTGGATTTGGCTCTGTGATTTCCATGGTTGGAATCAAAATTATCTGATTGTATTCAGATATTTATGTGGGGGTGAGGGAGAAAAAGATAACCAAATAATTCCTATGGCAGGGTTTATCACTATGAAAAAGGAGTGGGATGATGAAATGCCATTATTCTGTGGTAGAATGTGGTTCCCAGAATTGTACTCACAGTTACCACTTCAACTTGTTTATCCCTGTTTCTTGTTACCATATCATCATTGGTATTTTTGTTTCCTGTTGGGAAAGAAAACCAATCAGGTAGGTATCTGATGAGTGACTTCTAGACACCTATGGAACAGTCAGTCATTAGCAACTTACCAGCTATGTACTTCTTTCCTCTGCAATGAAAGAAAATTAGAAAAAAAATATCAGGTTCATGATACCATTGCACAGTAAAATTCAAAGAATATTTTCACATAGCAGGCAATAAAGAGTGAGCATGGTGCTCCTCCATGGGGGAAAATATAATTTGTAGAAGAAGCACTGTCTGAATGTCAATTCTGCCTGTTCTAAAAGATAGGCCCCTCAACACATAAATTTTCTTATTGGTCTAGGCAGACTAGCATTAAGCAGCCAGAATGGATAGTAGCCAATATCCTCTCATACATACTTGGGTATGTTTAATGAAAAGTCTTCTCTAATTTTATTTTGGAATCCTATAAGGCATTATGAAATAATGGGATGATATTTGTAAGCACTTAACACAATGCCTGGCACATAGTAGGCACTATAAAATTATCATCATCATCATCATTCAGTATGGAGGAGTGTCCAGAGTACTGACTCCAGAGTCACAAGACCAACATTTCAGTTTCCCTACTGATGTTTACTAATCATGTGACCTTGAGCAAGTCATTTAATCTTCCTTGGTCTTGGTTTCCTCATCTGTAAAATGAGATGTTTGGACTATTTGGTGTTGGTGTGTTTTCCAACTCTAGATTTATGGACCATCAGGCTTTGCCACTAAGAGATAGAGTCTATGTGTAGGAGGAGCTATTGTCAGTAAAACTGATGAGCACTGTGCTCTGTGTTTGGAAAGTGCCTTGCAAAGAACCTCCCCCTTCATCAATTCTCATGTGATCCTTACAATGTAGAGTTTTAATTTTTTCATTGTGCCCCAAAAGTTTCCATTTTTGTATCTTTTGTCTATCATTTGGTAGGGAAGTAGGTTCTTTTACACATAATACCTCACATTCTTGCACTGAAGATCAAGAAAAATTGTCTTTTAATTTGGTATCAAAAGTTTTAAAGTAAGTGGCACAATTATCATCCCCATTTTACACATGAGGAAAATCAGGATTAGAAAGGTAAAGTGATTTGCCCATGGCCACATAGGCATTAATTTACAGAGCCAGGACTAAGCCAGATGTCCCCCACGGTCACTGCTCTTTCCATCAGGCCTCCCAGCCTCTCTGATAAGGAGCAATGGAGGCAGATGTAGCTTTTCCCTCCACCTACTAGAACCTCTCTGACTCTTCTCCTGGATCCACTATAAATTCAAGGACTCGTGGGCAAACCAAGAACCAGATGAAGAATGGGTATAACTCACTGTGCACAGAAAGTTACTGTTCTCAAAGGGAAGCCCAAGCTCTCTACAACCTCAGAGGCTCCCTTTGTCAGAGGCCAACAAGGTAACATACAAATGTCCCCTTTAAGGACAATTATTCATTCAGAAGTTAAATGAAAATTCACATACTTGCTTTTTGGCTTAGAGAGCTCCTTGGTCAGTTTTTGGCACCTGGCTGTAATGCTGGTGTATTTCACAAGAAGGTAGCATGTCCAGGCAAGCAGCCCAGCCAGGAAAACTGCCATAAGTGTAAAGACGAAAGGGATGTACCAGTCATTGGGACTGTATGTGTTTATAGATGTGTATACAACGGTCACACCTTTCTTTTGCTGATAAATGACATAGAAAAGAACACAAAGCATTAGGCAATGTTTTCAGACAGTATTTTCTTAAATATAATAAGATTGATCTATACATGACAAACTACATATAGTAATCTGTGTAATTTATATGTACAATTACATTACAGTGTAACAGAATTTCAAAGTTGGAAGGAAATTCAGCAAGTCGTCTTATCAAACATGTGCATAAAAAGGAATCCTCACTACAACAAAACTGAAATGTGGTCACCTAGCATCTGTTTGTACATTTCTAAACTGGGGGACCTACTGCTGCCATAATCAGCCTATTCTGGTTGTGGCTAATTCTCACTGCAAATTTGGAAAGTTTTCTCACAATAAGACTAAATTTTCCTCTTTCATTCATTCCTCCTGGTTCTACTTTCTGGGGCCAACAGAATAAGTCTAACCCACCTTCTATATCACATTCCTTCAGATACTTGAAGGTGACCATCATATCCCCACTGAGTCTTTTTTTATACAAGCTAAACAACCTTGGGTCTTTCAACTAATCCTCATATGTCATGGACTCAAAGCCTTTTCCCATCCTGGTTATCATGTGTGAGATATCCTAAAGTTAGTATGTCTACAGGGACTCCAGTTTGAAATGTCCATTAGGTAATTAGAGATGGGACACCAGAGGTAAGGAAAGAGTTTAGGGATGGTGAAATAGGTCTGAGAATCATCACCATATATATGATTATTGAATACAAAGGAGCAGATGAGCTCACCAAGTGAAAAAGCATGTAAAGAGAAGAGGTTCCCAGGACAGAGTCCTGGGGGATACCAGCAGTTATTGAGCTTGACCTGGATGAAGATCCAGCAAGGAAGACTGAGGAGGAGTGGCCAGATAGGTAGGAGAAAAACCAGGAGAGAATAAGGTCACAATAACATAGAAAGAAATTAGTATCCATAAGAGGATGCTTGACAGTGTAAAATACTGCAGAGAGGTCAAGAAGGGTGAGGACACAATTTTACAAATAAGAGATAATTGGTAACTCTGGGAAGGACAGTTTCTGTTGAATGATATGGTCAGAAGACAGACTTCTTGTTCTTCAGTCTTTTTTCAGTCATGGCTGACTCTTCGTGACCCCATTTGAGATTTTCTTGGCAAAGATACTGGAGTGATTTACCATTTCCTTCTCTAGCTCATTTTTATAGATCAAGAACTGAGACAAATAGGGTTAAATGACTTGCCCAAGGTCAAGAGGAAAAAGGAAAGGAAGTGGACCCATTGATTATGACAGCCTTCTCAAAGAGTCAAAACATTTAGCAAAAAGTAGGAAAGGTATGAGATGATAGCTAGTAAGGATGGACAGATCAAGTGAGGGCTTCTTGAGGATGGGGGAGACACATATATTTCTAAGCAGCAAGGAGGCAGCCAATAGACAGGATTAAAGATACTAAGAAAGAAGGGATAAAAGAGAAGGCAATATGCTGGAGAAGATGGATTGGAATGAGATCACTTGTGCATGGAGAGGGGTTTGCCTTGGTCAGGAGAAGAGCCACCTCTTCATATGATACAAAGATGAAGAAGATAGTGGTATAACGTCTTCGTGTAATGTGAGACAAAGAGGAGAGAAGAGAGACTTTTCATACTTAGCTTCAATTTTTTCAGTGAAATTTGAGTCAAAATTCTGGGAGGGTGAGGATTGCAAATATCTGTGTTTCAAATAAAGATTGCCAAAATTACAAAAAATAAAATATGGCAAAAACTATAGAGAACACAGTTAATCTCAATCTTTAATGATTAAGAAGGCACTTCAAGCTCCTGCTGTGCCTTGGGATAATCATTAGGAATGCCAGTTCTTGCTGTTACAGCAAAGTGTGCTGAATATCATCTGACAATTGACTTATTTATATCCATGTGTGATAAAAACTAATTACCATTGACTTTTTGCATAAAGTTGATTATACTTGTCTTTACTGGCTCCACTCTCACCCATATACTATATTCCCTGATCACAAATTGGCATATTTTCTCATTCTATCAGCTACAAAGAGACATAATAATTCTCAAAAGAGGCACTATGAGTGGATGGGAGAGGATATGATTGAAAACAGAGTTGGGGTAAGAATGGTAATTGGTGGGAAGTAGAGGCAAGAGACCATCTAGTCCAATCTATAACTGAGCAAGGGTGCCCTCTGAACACAAACCTCAAAAGTGGGCATCCAGGCTTGGTTGGAAGACCTTCAGTAAGGGGGAACGCATTACCTCCTGAACCAATTCATTATATTTTGAAGAAGGCATAATTATTAGGAAGCTTTTTCTTTATGTGAAGTCTATGCTTCCAACTGTTGCTTCTAGGTCTGCCTTCTGGGAACAGGTAAAATAAACCTAATGATTCATCAAGTGGCAACCCTTTAAATACCTAAAAACAATCATCATGCTCCCTTCTCAACCTAAGTCTTATTTTCTTCAAGTTAAAAATAGACAGCTCTTTTGAGTAATCCTCATATGAAGTGAACTTAATCTATCTTGGTCACCTTCAATTGGATGCTCTCCAGCTTACCAAAATCCTTTCTAAAATATGGCACACGGGACTGAGCACCATAGGGCATCTGCACTGTGTACTGTACTATACTATGACTACTACAAACTTATTACCCCTCAATGTGAAGCTCTCTTATTTCAGCCTTACAAGAACCTGATTTAGGATTTCGTTGATTCAAATATTATGCTACAAGGAAACTGGGTTTCCTCTATCTGTGGTTAGTTTCATTGTGTTCTATAACAAGAGACTGTACCCCTTAACTCTTGCGGGTCATCTTACAAATGTGTACACTATATCACAATGGGATAGGGATGACTCTTTGCAAATCTCTCTGAGAAAAAAAAAAAAGATCAAGGCGTCAGCCACACTGATCCTGAGTGCACAGTATCACTTTATATGTGAAGGACTGGATGACATTTTAAAGTTAGCACCATGGACAGCACATTTAGAACCTTGAAATATAACTCCCCAGCTTTTCTGCCGAGCTTCAGTTTCTAAACAGACAAAGCAATCGTGAAATGTTACTCCATAATAGAGGGAATTCTGCTAGACACATATATTTAAAAAGTGCTAAAGTACTTTGAGAAAATTAAATGATATTGTATTTACCAAATTAGACATTTAGCTAACTAAAATGACATGATTGTATACAAGAATGTAGTTACATTTCTAACCAGCTTGATTCACCTTCATTTTAAAAATTCATGCTAAAATCCCCTACCAGAAACTATCTCGAAGCGCATTTCAGTATCGCGTGAGTCTCTGTCATGGCAGCTTAGCTTGAAGCTGTTGACGTTTGTTCCAGCAGCAACACTGTCAAAAATGACTGCCTTACATTTAGATGGTTTGCAGACAGGTGCTTCGTCATTCTCATCCTTTATGTCAATTGTAACCTGTCAGCAATCCAAAAGAAAGAAACCTCATGTCCACATCATATGGCTATTTATACACAAAACCAGAAATAAACATGTGGGTAGATGCTAATTGTCTGGGATTCTTATTTAAAAAAGAAAATTTCAGGATTTTGATGCAGGATAAACACCATGAACTTGGTTTCTATCTGTCAACTTCCTTGTCACTCGCTGATCTACCTTGCCTTGGGCATCGAGGAAAAGGGACATGGAACTCATTAAAATATCCTATAGAGGTTCCAACAGTCTATATTAATAACATTAGCTAATGTTAAATAGTACTTTAAGGTTTACAAAGCACTTTTATATACATTATCTCATTTGATCCTTACAACAGTCCTATGAAGTAGGGGTTATTATTATCCTCATTTTACTGATGAGGCAGTGAGGCTGAGGGATATTTAATAATGTTCCCAGGATCACACAACTTGTAAGTGCTTGAGGCAGAATGAAAATTCAGCTCTTCCTTACTCAAAGTTTAGCATGCTGACCTCTATGCCACCAAGTTACCTTGTATTGATAGAAAATTATTAGAAAAACACATGATGAAAGAAACTCTCTGCCCCTTTCAAAAAAAAAAAGTCACGAATCTTAAGTGCTTTAAATATTTGTACCTAACAACAAACATCTTTTCTTTGCTTCCCCTCGTTGGATTTGGCTGATTACCTCCAAGGCAAAGTCTGAAATATATGAAGCATATATGCTGATGGTAACAGTTAGCACCTCAGAATGGGTTATGACTATAATTAGAAGCTACTCTCATACTTCAATTAAAATATCATGAAACTATGGTAATTTACATGGAAAAGACCAAAATATCAAAGATTATAAAATGTCAGTGACCAAACACCAGCCAGCCTAGAAAGGTTATCTGCCTCCCTCCTGGATAAATAATGATTTCCTCTACAATATTCACAAAGGAAAAGCTTGTTTTGATTATATCAGCAAGCATACTCTGTGGATGTGTTAATTTTCTGTAATTTTAATAGCTTAGATAAACTGCTAGGGGAATTATTTAAAAAGCTCTTTCAGTAAAGTGCCTTAGTTTCTCGCTTGATGTTTTTAGTTCAATTCGACAAGCAAACATTAATAATTAATAAATTAATAATAATAATATAAAGATACAACACATAGCATTTTTGTTTGGGGGGGGTTGGTTAGGCAATGGGGTCAAGTGACTTGCCCAGGGTCACACAGCTAATAAGTGTTAGGTGTCTGAGCCCAGATTTGAACTCAGGTCCTCCTGAATCCTGAGCTGGTGCTCTATCCACTGTGCCACCTAACTGCCCCGAGCTTACTTTCTACTAAGGGTACATGTTCACAGGAAAGTTAATATGGGATATATACAAGCTACTACAATGATTAGAGGAGGAAGGACTAACAAAGGTGATCATCAGGAAAAGCTTCTTGAAGGAGGCATCATTTGAACTGAGCTGTGAAGTGAAGTAGGCCTTCCAAGAGGTAAAGGTGAGGAGGTAGATTATTCCAGACATGAGAGACTGTTTCTGCAAAAGAACAGAGGTGGGAGTGGCAATGTCACATGCAAAGAACAGAAAGTGGGTCAATTTAGTTTGAATATAGAGTGGTTGAGGGACAGCAATTGATCACTAGCATGAAAGAAAAGGGGGGCCAGACAGAGAGAGAGAGAGAGAGAGAGAGAGAGAGAGAGAGAGAGAGAGAGAGAGATGGATAGATAGAATCTGGTTTGCAATAGAGCCAAATTATGAAGGACTTCAAATGGCAAGCAGAAATTTGTATTTTAAAGGAAAGGAGAAGACCTAGAAGTTTCTTGAACAGAGGAAAAATGTGGTCAGACCTCCTGATATTCTTGACTAAGAATATCAATTGGGCAGCTGTATGGGGACTAGATTGTAAAGATATGGTAGAAAGGAAGGGAGTTAAGAAAGAGAGAAGAGAGGAAAAGAGGGAGAAGGGAAGGAGGGAAGAAAGAGAGAAGAAAGGAAGGAAGGCAGGAAGGAGGGAAGGAAGGAGAGAAGAAAGGAAGGAAGGAAGGAAGAAAGGAAGGAAGGAAGAAAGGAAGGAAGGAAGGAAGGGAGGGAGAAGGAAGGAAGGAAGGAAGGAAGGAAGGAAGGAAGGAAGGAAGGAAGGAAGGAAAGAAGGAAGGAAGGAAGGAAGGAAGGAAGGATTTATTAAGCAGTTACTATGTACCAGGCACTGTGCTAAGCACTGGGGACACAAATACAAACAAAAAAGATAGAACCTGACCTTGAGGAATTTAAATTCTAATGGAGAAAGACAAAGATGAGAAATGATGAGGACTTAAACCAAAGTAGTTATGATGAGATTAGAGAGAAGGATATAGATGCAAGAAATGCTTAGTTGGAACTAACAAGACCTGCCAAATGATTGAGTAAAACATTGAATGTATCTCCTATGTTGTGGACTTAGGTGAGTGGATGAAAAGTAATGTTCTTGACAGAAATGGGGAAGTTAGAACACAAAATGGGTTTCAAGGAAACAATGATGAGTTTCGGTTTTGGGCATGTGAAATATTACTTTCCTATGGTACATTTGTTGTTGTTCAGTCATTTTTCAGTCACATTTGACTCTTTGTGACCCCATTTGAGGTCTTCTTGGCAAAGATACTGGAGTGGTTTGCCGTTCCCTTCTCCAGTTCATCTTATAGATGAGAAGACTGAGGCAAACAGGCTTAAGTGACTTGTTTGTCACACAGCTAATAAGTGTCTGAAGCCAGATTTGAACTCAAGAATGTGAGTCTTCCTGACTCCAGACCTAGCACTCTATCCACTGTACCACCCAGCTGTCCTGTGATATATACAGATGTCAAATGGAAAGTTGAATAGGTGACTCTGGGTTCAGGGGAAAGATAAAGAATGGATATCTAAATCTGGGTGCCATTTTATAGACACGGTCATTGAAGCCAATGGTAACAAATATTCTGAATCTATTCCTTCTAGTTTCACTTCTTGTCAATGACTTCTTCAGAGTTTTTAAATGTCAGAGACCAGAGAAAGTTTAGTCAAAGTTTTTTGGAACAGTCTTCTAAACTGTAATGAATAATGAAGATTTTAACTATTTGGTTCTCTTCTAGTGAGCTGTGAAGTTAGCTTAACTATACTCATAAATCATATTTCTATGATATTTTAAGGTTTAAGAAATGTTTTCCTCACTGCAACTCTATGAGTATACCAGGTATTATTATCTCTATTTTTCAGATGAGGAAACTAAGGTTCATGGAAGGGAAATGACCCTCCAATGTTGCAGAGTTATTAAATAGGTCTAGACTGGAACCCACATCCTCTGGCTCCAAATCCAACGCTCTCACCACCATGTTAGGCTGTGTGATGGTGCTGCCTTCTGCAGAAAGCCTTTTTTGCTCCCCAGCCTCTTAGTGCTCTCTTCTTCCTCAAATCATCTTATTTTTGCTTATTCCATTGAACTCAACAAATATTAAAATTTCCTAATATTTTCAAAACACTGTGCTTGATACTAAACTAAGGTCCTAAGATTTAAAAAAAGGAAGCAGTCCTTGCCCTGAGTGAGTTTACATTCTACTCTAATCAAATATTTTATTCTTTATTAAAATGTAAGCTCCTTGAGGGCAGGCATTGCTTTTCATTTTTTATCCAAAATCTTAACGCTTAAGGAAGTTTATATTTCTCCTTTACTTACTGTGGTAACAGCTGTTCATGGTTGAGTTTTGTCACAATCCACAGCTTCTATGGTGAGGTTATATTGCTTCACAGATTCATAGTCTGGCTGGGTGGTTAGTTCTAGCATTCCATTTAATGGATGAATCCAGAATAGTCAAAGATGCTGGGCGTCTCCTCTGATTATTTTGTACCTCACACAGTTTGGTGGATTGTCTTCATCAAAAGCAGTCACTCTTCCAACTTCATAGGAGGCTGCAAGTTAACACTTCATGACAAGTCATTTTAATTAAAAAGTCATTTACTCTCACCAAATGTGTCATTGATCTAGAAGCTATGTCTTTAATAGCGAATAGCAGAAAAGTTCTCCAATATATGTACCCAAGCTTTGAACCAAAAGTCAGTTTTAAATGATATAATGTCTTTGGAAGCACCAACTTTACATAGCTAAAGAATGAAATAAGAAAAGTTTGCATCTCTTTACCACAACATAACTATAATGACACGGGTCAAGAATGAGAATGTCGATTTGCAAGACTTTTTCAAGAAAGAGAGATTTGATCAAATTGAAAACATAGTATAAAAGTGAGTTTTTGCTATTGTTATTATAACTTTTGAATATTCCACTCCATTGGTAGATGGATGATTAATTTTAGGAGGTGATTTTTATCTTCTTTGTGTTGTGAAACTGGTTGACTGGTTGTCACACTTCATTTTCAAAGAGGACCAAAATGACATCACTATTTTACAAGTTACACTGCATCCAACTGTGGCTGAGCAGACCCATACAAGCTCGGAATGATCTACCACAAGTCGGGCACAAATAGTCTACATGAACATTGGGGTGGATTCTCTAAAATTGCACATCTCACATTTCTTTTGAGCTACTTCAATTCTGTTTTGCTCATAGAGCACAGCACCTTCTCTGATGAGGGACACCACATCGGGCAGTCCTATGCCAGTGTCTCCCATGTCACACATGGAAACAATTGTTTTTGTACATTTTTCTGTGTTTCGACTGCAGGGTGGGATCCCCACTTGCTAAAGTAAGCAGGCCAGGGTTGGGTAAAGCAAATAACTTTAGGGCACCTTTTCTAGCCCCTTCCTCACACCAGGAGGTGAGCAGTGTGGTCCTTAAAAGGCTGCTCAAATAACCAGGGGGCTGCTCAATCCCACTGCTGCTTCCAATAAGATGATGACCCTATGGCCTGGGCCACCTGTGTATAGGGTTGTGACTACAGCTCCCAGTGTATCCACACCTGCTGCTTCATCACTTGCCTCTCACCACAGGACTTTGAGATAGGTAAAAATGGTCAAATGGTATGGGTGATATCTGCTGATTCATACATAAATTGGATTTAAGTGAGGCAGAGTTGCACAAAGTCAGCGGCCTCATTATCCCCTCCAGTCATCACAGTCCAGTGTCAAGACAGAGTCAAGATGACTGGTGATGGCTCAAGATACAGTGGAAGACCTTGGTGTCTTCAGTATCTAACCAAGCTCTAACTGCTCCACATTGCTTCAGTTGCCTTCATGTCATTGGAACAAATTGTTCTCATCTGCCCATTTCATCATATGCTTGGGGTAGACACCCTCCTAATTCACCAACATGTTTGAGACCCCTCAGTTACCCTCAAGCCAAAATGGTTTACCAGGGTACGGCCATTGCACATGCTACAGCTTCTTGGAGCCACAAGGGAGAACTGGGTGGATCAGATAGACGCCAAAGGTGGAAAGCAGCCCTCACACCAGAGGTACTAGTCTTCCCTGAACATACCCTACACCCCACGCTGTGAAATATCACCTCATTATCACTGGTAACAACCAGTAGCAGCCATAGTCATAATTAAGATTTTTCTCTGGAGTGCCACCATCCAGTAGGGCATTTTCCCATTGTGGGGCAACAAGATCCTGGTGGTGCAATAACCACCATCTCCTCACCTCATAATCTGCTGCCTGACTTGCCACTAGTGATGGCCTTGTCAGCCACAAAATCTTGTCACCTGCCTACCTTCCTCTAACAGCTATAGAGGCTTCCCTCTCTCCCACTAGAACTGTACCTTAGTCTGAACAGTCTTCTACATAACCACTGCCTCCATTTTCCACTCCAGGTTCCCCCCAACACTCAACTGTTTTTGCTCCCAAATAAATAAATTACAGCCCTAGCACCAGTATTTAGGAGACAAAAACATTGTTTGGAGTGAAAGTCGAGAACCTTCAACAGCAGTGGACCACTGTTCAATAGAGTAACTCATTTTATGTACTATCCCATGCCCTCCTGCTCCTAAGAAGTCACTGTCTTCCCTGTTACCCTGTTACCCACTCCATAAATTCCAAAGAACTATCATTAATTGATCAATAAACAACCTTTTATTAAATACTTACTATCTGCCAGACACTAGGGATACAGGGAAAATAAAAACAGCCCCCTGCTCTAGGAGCTTAGAACTGGATGCCCCTTTGGCATCCCAAATTCACCACATCCAAAGCAGACCTCATTGTTTTCCCCAAAGAGCCCACCCCTTCTCCAAACCTTCTCCTTCCTACTGAGGGCACCACCATCCTCCCAGCTGCCAAGGTTCAAAGCCCCAGGAATATTCTCAACTTCACACTCTCCCTCACACCATAGGTCCAATGCATTGCTGAATCTTGTCATTTCTGCCTTCACAACAGTTCTCACCTATGTCTTTCTCTCCACTCCCACAGTGACCACCTAAATTCGAGAACTTAGACATCTTGCCTGATCTATTGAAATATCCTCCTAATTGGGCTCCCTGTCTCAAGTCTTCACCATTCCAATATAGCTTCCATTCATCTGCCTCAATGATTTTTCTAAATCACAGGATGACCTCCAAGGGCTCCCTATGACTTCTAAGATTAAGTATAAAGTTCCTGGCGGGGGGACAGTTGAAGCTTTTCACAACTTTGTCACTGCCTGTCTTTCTAGTCTTACTACACACTCTTCACCCCTCTATGCACTCTACAATCCAGCCATATTCCAACCAGCTGTCTTCTACACACAACACAATATCTCCTCTCACTTTGCCTTAACACTAAAATTTCCCTAGGCATGGAATACTCTGCCCCCTCACCTCCACCTCTTAGAATCCCCAACTTCCTTCAAAACTTAGCTCAAATGTTTCCTTTGGCAAGAAGCCTTTCCCAGTTTCTCCATCTGCTAGAGCCTTTCCTCTGAGTAGCGTTCATCTATTTTGAATGTATCACATGTGTTGTTATTGTTGTTGTTCTTGTTGTTCTTGTTGTCCAGTCATTCAATTGTGTCTGATTCTTTCCGACTCCGTAGACCATAGCATGCCCAAACTGTCCATGGGTTTTTCTTATCAAAGATATCAAAGTGGTTTGCCATTTTCTACTGCAGTGGATTAAGGCAAACAGAGGTTTGTGACTTCAGGGTCACACAGATAGTGAGTATCTGAGGCCAGATTTGAACTAAGGCCTTCCTGACTCCAGGCCCAGCACTCTATCACTGAGCAACCTAGCTGTTCATCATATATGTTCTTATTTACAAATATGCTATCTTCCCCGTTAGAATGTAAGCTCCTTGAGGGGAGGAACTATTTTTTTTGCCCTTTTTTGTATCATGCATTTAGCAGTGTCTTAAACGTGGTAAGTGTTTAATAAATGTTTGTTGACCAACTGAATGTACATGAATAGCAAATATAATTTACATTCAGAGTCAATGGAAGGTGGCCTTGGAAGAGAAGCCTCTAGTCATTGGCAGTTCAGTAAATAAAACGAGTACCTCAAGAACAATCAGACCCTACTTGTGAACAATGAACAAATTGCCCAAAGCTACAAACCACATACATCAAAATTCCAACCTCTTGGTTGGCTGAAAGATATTTTTTAAAGTATCTTCAATGTGGTATGCCTTATATAAATACATCCAAAGGAATAAAGGTTAAAATTCCAATCTGCCTCATATAGTCCTGGGCAGAGATTGTGTCTTTCCACATTCAACACTCAGTTAAATATACTGGAAAGCTTATATTCTTCTGTAGGTGTCAAATTAACCTTTCAATAAAAACTAAGAGCTATCTTGAGCATCCCCAGCTAAAGTTTAAAATAGAGTGATTATGAAACCCACTGTAAGGCTGCCAAGTTTCTTCATCAAAAACCATTGTAAATGAAACCTGTTTTCCCATAAGACTTATAGCCCAACGTGATATGATTTCTCATTTACTTCCTTTAAATAATTTCTGATGAAGGAAATTTTTCCTTCTAATTTTTTTTTCTTCCCAGAAGCTTTCCATCAATGAGAGATCCAGGTGGGTGTCACATATCATCAGAGAAAATCACTTTAAATATTTTAAATTCTCATAATTTCATCCCCGAAAAAAACCTCTTGTAGTCATCAGCCTACCACTCAAGCTTCTAATCACAATCATATGAAAGGAGAATATTTTCCATGTTAAAGCTTTTATGAAACACCTTCAAAGTCTACAGGTTAAACGTTTTAGGTCCTGAGTGCAGTTTTGTTCAAGAAATTTTTATCCCTCCCTCCTACACTTGTCAGCAAATAATCTCTGTCTTTCAATTATATCTATCTTTATAAGAAACCAGAATTAAGTCCTAGGACTATTGGTTACTATAATATCAGCCCTCTGAAGCATCACCTCACTCATGCAGATGGGCCCACATTTTAAGAAAACTATATATAGTAATGTCACACTTTTCTAAATGGCATATGCCTGATAGACTTATACTAAATATAGTCAAGAATTAAGAAGTAAACTAAGAAATTTTTAAAAAGGGAGTAGAGATAAAAGTTGTCACTTGTTCAAAGCCACACAGTAAGATGGGAATAAGGCTGGGGTCTTTAGCTTGGGGGGGGGTAGTTGTTAACTATATTTCAATATAATTGATTTCTTTTTCATATTATGTATTTTGCTTTAAAATTTTAAATACTGTTATTTAAATACTATTTTTAAATATTTTGCAAAGGGTTCCATTACCCAACAAAGTTAAGAACAACTGGTTTAGAGGGCGAGCTAGCATTAGAATCATCTGACTTTTGGTTCGCTAGACCTCATTCACTTTGCTTTAAGAATGTTGAAAGGATCAAATGGATATGAAATAACAAGGCACCATAGAAGCACATCCATGATTTTCCCTTAGAGCCTAAGAACTCTTTGGAAACAATTCTAATCATCTTGGCTTTCTGGTTCTCAGTCATACCATAGACTAGAATCCATGAATTAGTAATCTGGCAGAGTCCGACACACTCATGAAAGAAAGAAAGAGAGAAAGAAAGAAAGAAAGAAAAAGAAAGAAAGAAAGAAAGAAAGAAAGAAAGAAAGAAAAAAGAAAGAAAGAAAGAAAGAAAGAAAGAAAGATTCAACCAAAGAAAGTTATTTTTAAGTGTAAAAAACATGACAGTCTAAGATTATTTAGTTTTGTTATTCAACTTGATAAAAGTTACAGAGATAGTGAACAGAAACAGGATTTGGACTCCCATCTTCTAACTCTAAATCCAAGACTCTTTGTATTATACCATATTGACCTAGTCCTTGGTTGGGTATTCTGCACTAGTAGATATTTTAATTTTTTTGGTGGAGGGGTGGGGAAGGGAGGGAAGGCAGCCAGGTGGTACCATAGTTAAACAGAGCACTGGATCTGGAGTCAGGAAGACTCATCTTCCTGAGTTCAAATCTGGCCTCAGACACTTACTAGCTTTGTGACCCTGGGCAAATCACTTAACCCTGTTTGCCTCAGTTTCCTCATCTGTAAAATGAGCTGAAGAGGAAAATGGCAAATCACTCCAGTATCTTTGCCAAGAACACCTCAAATGGGGTCACAAAGAGTTAGGCATGACTGAAAAGTGAACCAACTACTACCACCAATTTTTTACACCAAATTATTATTTCATTGGTATTAGAAGCTTCCTGGTAAGCAAACTCTAGCAATGCAGACTGGCACCTTCAATCAGTTAGACAGTAACCCAGAGCCCATCAGGATTAAGTGACTGTCTGATCTTATCTCTGGCTGTCTAGGAGACCCTGTGCAAGTCACTTAACATCTTAGGGCTCAAGGTCAGGGGTATTAAGGTCATATAGAAACAGAAGTCACTAAGCCATACATAATGATTCTTATGGGGTGCTTCAACTTAGAAAACCACATACTAATGTCTAGATTCTATTGTATTTTCATTTTGTTAAATATTTTCCAATTACATTTTGATCTGGTTGCGCTTTCAGAATGTTGGCCCTGCAGGCCACCCGTTGGACACCTCTGCTCTAGGCAACTGCTTAAGACTATAAATTGCAGCATAGGGGTCACCTGTCATATAGCCAAGATGTGTCATGGGTGAAATTTGAACTCAGATTTCACTGATTCCAAGACTGGTTCTCCATCCACTACATTAACAGCTTAATAGCAAATAACCAAGTCATTGCTTAATAACTGAGTTGAATACAAATGGGTTTTTGCCTATTCTATAGGAGAAGAAATGGGACAGAGAGATTTAAGAAAATTGCCAAAAGCTGCCTGGGAAAGATGAGTTTAGATTCTAAATTTAGAACTCACTCAGTTTGTTCAAGAAAAGTCAAGTGAACTGCTAGGTCTATATTCCAAAGATATCAAAAAGCAGGGGAGGACCTATTTGCACAAACATACTTACAGCAGCTCTTTTTGCGGTGGCTAAGAACTGGAAATCAAAGGGATGCCCATCAATTGGAGCATGGCTAAGCAAGCTGTGGTATATGATTGTAATGGAATATTACTGTGCTACAAGAAATGACAATTTTAGAAAACCTGGAAAGACTTACACAAACTGATGCAAAGTGAAGTGAATAGAACTAGGAGAACATTGTACACAGTGGCAGAAATATTATTCGAATGCCTTAGCTATTCTCAGCAATGCAATGATCCAAAACAATCCAAAATGATAAAGCTTACTGTCCACCTCCAGAGAAAGAACTGATGTTGTTTGAATACAGACTGAAACATGCCATTTTTCACTTTCTTTCTTTCATTCTTTTTCTTTTATTCAAGTCTTCTTGTACAAAATGACTAATATGGAAATGTTTTTATGTGATTGCACAAGAATAACCTGTATCTGCTTATTGTTGAAGAGAGGGGAGGGGTAGAGGTAGGGATAGAATTTAGAATTCAAAACTTAAAAAAAAATGTAAAAATTATTTCAACATGTAATTGGATGAAAAGTAAAATATATTAAAATGAAAAAAAGAAAATAAAAGTCAGGTGAACAAGCATTTATTGCCTATTACATGCCAGACATTGTACTGTAAGGATCCAATCATCCTGCTTGAGGACAGGGACTATCTTTTGCTTTTTTCTGTATCCTACAAATATTAGCACAGTGCCTGGCACATAATAGCTGCTTAATAAATGCTTATTGAATTGAATCCAATGAGAATAAATATGAAAATATTTTGTAAAATGTAAAATACTCCATAAATGGAACTCTATTAAAATACAAATAATAAGTACCTACTGCTTACCAGACACGTTGCTAAGTGATGGAGATATTAAAAAAATAATACTGTCTCTTCCTTTAAGGAGTTTACATTCTATTTGTCAAATAAAACATGAACACAGGGAAGTTTAATACAAGACAAGGGAACAAAGAAGGGGATCAGAGAAATAATTCCAGAAAAATTGAAAGGAGACAGTACTAATAGCCAAAAAGATTCGGGAAGGCTATGAGAGATCTTTTTATTATTACTGGCTAGCTTACCTCCTGATGTTTCTGGAACAGAGAATGAGTAACTTGCAGGCCTGAAAACTGGACCGAATTCATTGGCAGGAACAACCTCCACAATGATAGTAACAGTGACTGTGGGGGGAAAAAATTAGCAGGGGCTTAGTCTACGGATTAGCTGAATAAGTCATAAGGCCTTGATGGGCCATATTTGACCCTCAAAATTCCCATCCAACCACCAAGGGAACCATGAAGTTTCACACTTCATCTCTCCTCTGTAACTTGAGAGGTGGCATTGTGGAGCTGGCCTCTAAACCAGGCTCCCCAGGCTGTCTTATCTTATCTCTGGCTGTCTAGGAGACCCTGTGCAAGTCACTTAACTTCTTAGTGCTTGAGGTCAGGGGTGTCAAGCTCAAATAGAAAAAGGGGCCACTAAACCATACATAACAATTCTTACTGGGTACCTCTTGACTTAGAAAATCACATACCAATATTATCTAGATTCTATCGTGTTTTCATTTTGTTAAATACTTTCCAATTGTATTTTGATCTGGTTGGGCTTTGGGAATGTTGGCCCTGCAGGCCACCTGTTGGACATCTTTGCTCTAAGCAACTTTCTAAGGCTAAAACTGCAGCATAGGGGTCACCTGTGCTATTAAATGGGGTCTCCTCACCTTGGAGTTCCCTGTAACAATTAAAGAACAGTTCTGGTCCCTTTCCCCTTGTGGAACATAAAGGACAGAGAGATATTTTTCCATCCAGTTTTGTGCATTATCAGCCTTGTGACAGCATACACACATCCATCTTGTTGGCCATAACCACCCCAAGGTGTTACCTCATTTGCAGCTGTTTTGACTTTCCCTAGAAGTTTCCCAGCCTCCATCACACACTAGGTGGCAAGGGACACACTAAATAGTCTTCTGAGGATTTCACAGAATCTGTCCCCACATTTTCAAGATGGCACCTCATACTCCATACCCTTGGGATGCAGTCTGGGACCACTCTTGTGAGACATAGTGGGGGAAGAAAGAGAAAGATCCAGAATCCTCCAGTGTTACTGTGCTTCCTACTACAATAGTCCAAGGCCTTTTTTAACCAGACCTGTGAATTCTTTAAGGGATACCATTGATCTCTCTGCCTCCAGTTATCACTCTGCCACCATACCTGAGATTTCCACTACTCAACTCATCCCTTAAAACCAAGGTTTTATACATAGGATTATAGATTTAGTGTAGGGAGTAACTTAATGGGTTAATTAGAGCAACATTTTGATTTCACAGATGGGGAAACTGAGGCTTAGAGAGGAGAAATGATTTGCCCATGGTCACATCAGTAATTAAGTGGTAGGGCTAGAATTTGAACCCAGGTCCTCTGAATGAAGCTCCAACATTCTTCCTGTTGGACAGCACTTCTCAGAAGTTCTATACCAAAACACCTGAGAAATTCTCCACATTGAAAACATTAGCATGAATCAGATTTTCATACAATTTAAAGAATTATATTCATTGTACTCTGAAATCAATACATTATCATCAGCCTTGTGACAGACAAATGTGTGTGCCCTAGGCCCAGATCCACAGTGGAACCTTTGGAGTAAAATATTTGCACTCGATTCACTAAATATTACTTTCACTCTGAACATTAAATAAGAAAGTAAAAGTATTTTATAAACCTCAGAAAGCAGGGCTCTGGGCCTTTGGGAAATGAATCCAAGACCAAAAATCAGAAAGTGTTGGGTAAGTAACTTGGTAGGGGTAGAGAGGACTTCGAGTAAGGGCCTGGGTATCTCCAAATGGAGCAAGGTCTCCAAACACAACCCCAGCAACGGGACTTATGAATTTTAAACATGGAAAAGGATGAAGGTCCAGAGAAGCGAGGGCTTCCAAATCAATCAGCAAGTATTTACTAATCAAGAGACAGAAAGGGGAAATGGGATATAAATACTCACCTTATACCAGGAATTCTTCATTTGGGTTTTTTAATATTTTGATAATAGCATTTCACCATATTTGATTTCCTTTGTATTTTATTTTGTGCATTTAAAAACAAGATTCCAAGAATGGGTTGATATGCTCGCCCAGGCTGACTGCCCAAGGGTCCAGGACACACACCCTTGCCTCAGACTTACATCCTAATCACACAGTCACACTGTCACCAACAAGGCTCCAATGAACCAATGAGTTGAAGGCATTTTGCAAGCATCAAAGAGCTATATAAATTTCACTTAGGCTTAGTATATCCCAAGGCCCATCAACCACAACCATGATGACATTCCACATCCATCCACTGAGAAAAATGATTTCTGTCAGAACCTCGATATTTCCTTTAGTGACTCCATTCATGGATCCAAGAGCAGGTGTTGTTAATGATTATGCCTTAGCATGGGTTTTATATCATCCATAAAGAACAAACCCAGGCTAATTAGCATCCCTATAAAAATAGAATAAGCCACATGTGCTGTGTTACAAGTATCCATCATGAACAGCTGCTGGGAATGTGTTAGCTTGTCGAGGCCAGAGAGGATGTGGGCTGAGAACAACAAGTAAGATTACTTTGGGTTAGATGGGGGTAGGAGGGGTGAGATGGATGGGCATCTAGTTGGTGGATAGGGAAAGCAGATAGTGTAATAAGGGACAAATTCCCAGACAAAAGGTGTCTTCCTGAAAGGCCAGGCTAGGAAATGGGTGTTTTATATGAAATGTACAAGCTCCACTTGTACATCACAGCTGCACTCAAATGCATTCTGATGAGCCAGAGTTGAGCCCCAAATTGAGGAAGCCATAGCCATGGGGAGCATGGAGAGGTGTAGGAATCCTGAACCTTCACATTCAGGGGCATGGGAGGATCAGAGAATTACAGATTCTCCGAGTTGGAAGGGATCTCGAAGGCCACCTAGTCCTACTTCCTTGTAAACAAGGATGCTTTCTACAACACAGAGGACAGCACATTTAGAACTGGAAGGGACCTTGAAGATGGCCAAGTCCAACTCCTCTCAATTTAAAGATGAGGAAGCTGAAAGGAGAGGGGTTAAGTGATTTGTCCACGGTCATCCAGCTAATGTGTCTGAGGCAGGTTTCAAATCCAATATTTTCTGTCTCCACTGTATCCACTACATCAGGCTGCCTCTCAAGTAGTCAAAGCAAGACTCCAGTGAAAGGGAACCCACTGATTCTTGTGGCAGCTCATAACATTTGCGGAAAACTCTAATTGCTAAAAAGTGATTCCTGATATCAAGCCTAAATTTGTCTCTTTGTCACTTCTACCTGACATTCCTAGTTCTACCCTCTGGGGCTCACTCGAACCAGGCTGATCTCTCCTCCACCTGACTGCCCTTCAAATGCATGAAGACATCCATCATGTCTTCCCTCAGGCTTCTCTTCTTCTGGCCAAATCTACCTAATTTCCTTCAACTTATATTTTTAAGGCGGAAGTCAAGACGCTTCACTGTCCTAATTGCCTTCCTCTGAACATTCATTGTGAATGCACTATAGCTTCTCAATGTCCTTCATAAAATGTGGCTCCCAGAATTGAACACAATACTCCAGAGTGTCCTGACTAGGGCAGGATACAGTGGGACTATCACCTCCTCAGTCCTGGACATTATCCCACCCTAGTTGCAGTCTAAACTTACGTTAACTCTTCTAAGGCCGCCATATAACACTGCTGACTCACGCTGTGACTCATGCTGAGTTTGTAATCCTCTAATACCTACAGATCTTTTTCCAATGAATGCTGTTTAGCCATACCTCCCCCATCTTGTAGTCATGGAATTGATTTTTTTTAAACACAAAGGTGATATTTTGCTTTTTTTCCACTATTAAACTTCATCTTATTAGATTCACCCTCATGTTCCAGGGAGTCGCATACTGAGTGTAGATTCATGTACTAGTCTTTGGGGGTGGATATGCTATGCTTTCCTCAAATTATAACTGCATTTCCTGATGCCGAAACATTGAAACTATAATACTGAAAAATCACTCAATCAAACAGAAGCTAGGTCCACATGATATCAAGCGTATGGATATTTCAGATAATAAATCTTAGGCAACACTAGGCAGAAATTCAGCCAGGTATGATAACAAAAAATACAGAATCTATATTTTACAGGTATTCCTAGCTTCAAGAACCTACAACCAATACAGAGCATTGCTCCAAACTTTGGTGGGAATTTAAAAGGTCCAAGGAGATGATTGTAGCTGTTTCCCTAATCTAGTGAAGACCCCGAAAGGGAGTTTTTCTACTGCTTCTTTTCTCCTTGTTTCTCTACCTGGGCTGTTCCTAATTGAATGAACTTTTGATGTCTTAGTATAATGATGAGAAAAGTTGTTTTGTTCTCAAGGCTTTAAGCATCTTTTGATCAAGAGAATGCCTAGAAACCCCTTGATAACTTTTGAATGGGCTTACCTGTGTGGGAGGGCCTGTTGTCATCAAAGACAGAAACCATCATCTCGTAGGTATGACCCACTACAGAAGCCTCTGGTTTTTCATAATCCAAGTTTTTGGTCACCTTCGAGAAGATGTCATAATAATACGAATACATTAATTCAACAAACATTTATGTACAAGGCACTCTGCTAGCTATGCCCTAGGACACAAATTTTTAAAAAATTAGTCTTGGCCTTCCAAGTATTTATAACCTACCGGGATAAAATAAATCAATAAACCAAAAGGAAAATAATTTCAGAAGTAATAACCTTATAACCACAGTTACCTAATGAGGTCTGATTTGCCCCCTTATTTAAATTACATATTCCTTCAGAGCAGGAGGTAGGTCAATTTTGATCTTTGTATGCCCAGTGTTTAATAACAGACACCTATATAATTGCCTAAAGTTTAAAAAAATGCTATACCTAGGAGACAATCTAATTGATGCAAAAAATGATGCAAAAATTATTAATCCTTTTTTATGAGGAAAATGAGGCTAAGAGAGTTTGGACAATTTAGTCTTCGTCACACTACTAACAAATGACAGAATTGCTAAATATTTTACATTACAAATATACAGACTCAGCATCAGAGTTCAAACTAAACCTTGCCTAAATTTGGTTTGGAGGAAAATTGAAATATTCATGAAATGACACAATTTGGTATGGCCTTTTTAAAAAAAGAAGTAAGGTATCAGAATCATAGAAAGTTGGAGCTAAGAGGGGGATCTTGAAGTTCCATTAACCAATCCACATCATTTTTCAGATGAGAAAAGTGTAGCCCGCAGACAGGAAGTGGCTTGCCTAAGGTCACACAACTAAGGCCAGAGCTCTACAGAACCCAGATCTCCTGGGTTCTCTTGCCTCACCACTGTGATGGTCAAATCAGAGTCAGAAACCTGGATTCAAATCCCACATTTGATGTTTATTCCTGTGTGCTCCTTGGGCAAGTCATTTAACTTCCATGGGCCTCAGTTTCCTGATCTTTAGAGTAAAAGGATTGGACTAAAATCTGAGGTCCTTTCCAACCCTATGGTCCAATCCCCTTTCCACCACCCTCATCATGGGGTGTATGTTTCTAAAATGCAAGAAGTTGGTGAAAGCTCAACTCCTGGCATTCAAAATCTATTAAGGAAGTTACAAGTTGGCCCCAGTGAGATGAGGTTGATCAATGGCTCTGCTCAGCCATAACTAATAACAAATGGGGCTGGCTCCCCAGAGTTTGAGGGCAGGGAAAAGTTCCTCTAAGCAATCAGGAATGAGGACTTGGAACAAAAGGAAAATAATCAGCATGGGATGTCTTCAGGGGAAGAGCCCCAAATAGTTAAAGAACAATTAAGTACTATCACTACCCTCAGTGTGGCTCCTCTATCCATAGAAGGGCCAGAAGGTGTAGGGCTGTGTAGGGCTTGGGAGGAGGTTGACAAGTTGGTAGCTCCCAGTACCAGGAAAACTAGCCCCCTTGTTCTGTTAGACAGAACTTATCCCTCAGGAAATCAAGCTATTACATGGTCTCCAGTTCCTTTTCCTGAATTAATTAGGGGGTAGAACTATTGTTCTTATTTTACGAAGAAGAAAATCAAGGCAGACATAGAGACATTGATTGAGTAATTAATTTTCCATTTAAGGAGCTAGAACTTCTGTCTTTGAAATCACTTCATTTCCTTCTATGCCTACTGGCAAAGAGCAGGACTCAGATGACATGTGGATGATATATTCATAGGATCATAGATTTAGATGTAGAAGAGACCTTGAGATGAATTGTGCAACCACCTCATTTTACAAGTGAGGAAACTAAGGCCCAGAGAAGTCAAGTGAGTTGTCTAAGGTTATTGTTTGTCCTTCATTTTCAAAGAGGACCAATGGCATCACTCTGGGTAATATCTTAACTTGCACAGGAGTTGGATTTAAGTGAGGCAAAGCTGCACAGAGTCATCAGCCTCACTCTGTCTTTCAGAGTCATCAAAGTCCAGTGGCAAGACAAAAGTCAGAATGACTGGGGATGGCCCAGGATGCAGTGGATGATGTCAGCACCTTTGATGTTTGACCAAGCTTTACCAGGGGTGGGGAACCTGCAGCCTCAAGGCCCCATGTGGCTCTCTAGGTCCTCAAGTGTGGCCCTTTGACCGAATCTGAACTTGGACTCAGTCAAAAATCCATACCCAAGGAACTAGAAACCCACATGTGGCATCTAAGCATTCCATAGTAGCTGCTTGGCCATCTTCATTATCATTGGAATAAATTGTTCTTATCTGCCCATTCCACCAGCAGTTTTCACACCCCGCCTAATTCACCAAGTATGAGGCATGTCAGCTACTTTCAACCTGGCTTAACCCATCTGCCATGATGGTCTTACTGGGGTATGGCTGCTGCATATACTACAGCTTCTTGGAGTCACATGTGAGAGTTGTGTGCCAGCTGGACACCTAAGGTGGGTGAGCAGCCCTGAAAAAGGCTCAATAAACCCTCACGCCAGAGGTGCTAGCCCTCCCTGAACACCCCTCATACCTCAAGGACACGCAGGTTATAAATGGCCAAGCCAAGATTGTAACTCAAGTTTTCTGAGGCCCAATTGGATTCTTTTTTCCTTATATAACATTGGCTTCTCTAGTAACTGAGACTCACCCATATGACATTGTCAAAGTCTGGTACTTGTTCAAATAACTCTCCCTCACCAAGTGGTCCACCATTAGGAACATACTGAAGTGCATCAGGGGACTTGTCAAGGTCATGACACACAAATTTAGCAACAATTGTTTTATTTGCAATCACTTCAATGCCTCTATACCTTCAAAAATAGAGAGACATGCCTTCAGAATTAACATTCTTTAAAACTGTAGAAATTTTCCTAAGTATCCATCAATCTGACACTCTCCTAAGAAATAAAAGTACTATTACCCATGGGACAATGAAGAGACCCATAGTGTATGAGAGTGAATGAAAGAGTCCCTGCCCTCCAGGTGTTTACATTCTACTGAAATAAAATAAATCAATAAACCAAAAAGAAAATATTTCAGAAGAAATAGGCTTATGGCCATAATCATACAATGAAAAGTGCATTGCCTCTTATTTAGACTATAAGGTTCTTGAGGGCAAGGAGCGTGCAATTTTTTTCCTTCTTTGTATATCCAATGCTTAATAATAAACCCTAGGAGATAATGGTTACAATATATGTCCAATGAGGAACTTTAAAAAACAGGAATCAAAGATTTTATCAGGGAAATAGATGACTAAAAATGATGAGCTAGTCCTATGATGAGGGTAAAGGATGACAGGGGGAAATCCGAAGTACTCTACTGTTATCCTTCTAAGGCAAGGAAAGGCAAGGAAAGGCAAGGAAAGGCAAGGAAAGGCAAGGAAAGGAAAGGAAAGGCTCAGCATGGTAGATAGACCAGTATGGCAAATTTATGGGAATCCATGGATAAGTACCATAGAATGGGCAGATATGGATGAGTTTTGATTTACTAATGTTTTTAGCATTTAATTTAAGTCATTTAATTAATAATTGATTAAATCTGTGACTTCATTTAAAGCTTTGGAGGGGAAATTCATCTCAATGATATCACAGCTTCATCTAAATGGTTTTGTATATACAAATGATTGTAATGTAATGTAGCCTTAGAGTCCATTTTTTCACTTGGAGTAGTTCACAGAGACCTACAATTCAATTTAACAATTTAGCAAGTATTTATTAAGAACCTACTACATACAAGGTCCTGTGTGCTAGATGCTAGTGGTATGAGAGTAAGAATGAAAGAACCCCTGCTTTCAAGAAGCTTATAGTCTGCTGGCATGCAATAAAAAAACACCCAGGAAAATGTTTCCCAAAAGAAGACGAAGCCATAGCAAGATCATAGATTTAGAGTAGAGGGGCCCTCAGAGTTCACCTAGTCCAATCCCTTAATTTATGGATTATAAAATGAAGGTCTGGAAAAGAGAAGATTGGTCCAAGATGTGTCACACAAGTAATAATTGGTAACACTGTATTCCAAATCCAGCACCTCCAACTCCTAATCCAATGAGATTTATATTCTTCAGACTCCTTAAATCCTGTTGAGAACTGCTTAATTGAGGTATTAGGTTTTAAGACTTTCCTTTAGGGGAACCTACTTTATATGTGGAGAATAGCTCAAGGTAGTAGAAAGTCTCTGGGCCAGGGACATCAAATCCTCATCCATCTCAAACAACTTGTAGACCCCACATCTGCATTATGCTTCCATATCCCCCTTGGTCATCTGATAAATAATTTAATTAACAAGTCCTTGTGAGAGGAAACAATACACACACACACACACATATATATATTTATATATATGTATACATATATATATATATATATATATATATATATATATTTATATAAATGAGTACTACTCACTTAAAATGGCATATGAATAGGAACAAAGGAGGCAGACAGTGGAAATCCTCCAAGGTTAGAGTTTGGCAAGGTATGATCAGCAATAGAACAAGGGAAAAGAGGGTTTAAGAGTAGAAGGTAATATTGAATCAAACAGATCCAATAATGGATCAAGGTAGGGAAGAGAGTAGAGTATAACCAAACAAGGGCGATGACCTAAGAAAATCACAAGGAATGGAAGAATTAGTAGTCATGCAGACTTAGGAGGAGTGAGGAAGAGGATGAACTATAACGATCAAATAAAGGAAACTCAGAGTTCTTGAAGATGGAAGTAGAAAGAACACTTGTAAATAGATATTGCCAAGATCAAGGGTATGATCATCCCTGTGTGCAGCTGAAGCGAAATGGAAGAGTAAGTGATGGGAATTGAGAAGACTGAGGAAATGGGAAGTTAGAGCTTTTGAGGGAACACCAGTAAGTATGGTGAGGTCCCCTTAGAATGAGAGTAGTTAGGATGGAGAGAAAGACTGTGAACCAAGAACTCTCAATTCATTAAGGAATGATGCAGAATGTTCTGGGGGTCAGCATAAGGGAATCTGCTCTAGGAGACTCTGCATTTTGGGGGGGGGGGTTAAAGATTAATTTTTAAATTTTTTTAAAAAATTAATGTATTTATTTTTAGTTTTCAACATCCACTTCCATAAGCTTTTGAGTTTTAAATTTTCTCTGCTTTCCTCCCCTCTCCCCACACCAAGGTGGCATGCAATCTGATATAAGCTCTACATATACATTCTTATTAAACCTATTTTCACATTAGTCATGTTGTAAAGAAGAATTAGAATGAGTGGGAGGAACCACAAGAAAGAAGAAACACAACAAAACAAGACAAAAAAGAAAGAGAGCAAATAGTATGCTTCGATCTGCATTCAGATTCCACAGTCTTTGTCTGTGGACAGCATTTTTATCATGAGTCTTTTGAAGTAGTCTTAGATCCTCGTACTGCTGAGAAGAGCTAAGTCTATCAAAGTCAGTCATCACACAACCTGGCTGTTACTGTGTAAAATGTTCTCCTGATTTTACTCACTTCACTCAGCATCAGTTTATATAAGTCCTTCCAGATTTTCTGAAATCCACCTGCTCCTCATTTCTTATAGTACAATAATATTCCATTACATTCACACACCACAGCTTGTTTAGCCATCCCCCAGTTAATGGGCATTCCCTCAATTTTCAATTCTTGGCCACCACAAAAAAGCTGTTATGAACATTTTTATACATGTGGGACTTTTTCCCATTTTTATGCTCTTTTTGGGATACAGCCCTAAAAGTGCTATTGCTGGGTATGCACATTTTTATAGGCCTTTGGGTATAGTTCCAAATTGCTCTCCAGTATGATTGAATCAGTTCACAACTTCACCAACAATGCATTAGTGTTCTAATTTTCCCACTTCTTTCCCAACATTTATCATTTTTCTGTTTTGTCATGTTAACCAGTCTTATAGATATGATGTGGTACCTAAGAGTTTTGATTTCCATTTCTCTAATCAACAGCGACTTAGTGCATTTTTTCATATGATTATAGATAGCTTTAATTTCTTCATCTGAAAACTGCCTATTCATATCCTTTGACCATTTATCAATTGGGGAATAACTTGTATTCTTATAAATTCCATTCAGTTCTGTATATATCTTAGATATGAGGCCTTTATCAGAGACACTAGTTTTAAAAATTCTTTCCCATTTTACTGCTTGCCTCCTAATCTTGGTTGCATTGGCTTTGCTTGTGCAAAAACTTTTCAATTTAATGCAATCAAAATTATCCATTTTGCATTTCACAATGTTCTCTATCTCTTTTTTGGTCATAAAATTCTTCCCTTCTCCACAAATCTGACATGTAAACTATTCCTTGCTTTCCCAATTTGCTCATGGTATCAGCCTTTATACCTAAATCATGTACCCATTTTAACTTTATTTTGGCATACAGTGTAAGATGTTGGTCTATGCCCAGTTTCTGCCATACTATTCTTCCAGGTTTTGTCAAATAGTGAGTTCTTATCCCAGAAGTTGGGGTCTTTGGGTTTATCAAACAGTAGACTACTATAGTCATTGACTACTGTGTCTTATGTACCTAATCTATTCCATTGATCTACTCTACTTCTGAGCCAGTACCAAGTAGTTTTGATGATTGCTACTTTATAATACAATTTAAGATCTGGTATGGCTAGGCCACCTTCCCTAGCATTTCTTTTCATTAATCCCTTGATATTCTGGACCTTTTGTTCTTTCAGATGAATTTTGTTATTTTTTCTAGCTCCATAAAATAATTTTTGATTGGTATGGCACTGAATAAGTAAATTAATTTAGGTAGAATTGTCATTTTATTATATTAGCTCAGCCTACCCACGAGCAACTGATGTTTTTCCACTTATTTAGATCTGACTTTATTTGTGTGAGACCCTGTTTTTAATGCTAGACATTCCATGCCTGAATGGCACTAACTAGATGATGAGAGAATTTACAGGAAATAGTCAAGAAACTCAACTGATCCAGCAGCTACCTAACTGACTCAATCTTTCTTCTTCCTTTCCCCACCTCTTGAGCTCACCTGTACAAATACTTATCACAGAATCGTGGGTTATCATTGATCCCATGAATGTACACTATCACAGGAATAGCTGCGCAGTGCTGGTCTTCATCACGCGCCTTAATGGTAAAGAACTGAACACTCACAAAGTCAGTCTCCTCCAGATCCAGACGGTCAGCAATCATCACAGTTCCACCCTCCGGAACATCAAGACATTTCATTATGAAAAGGAATGGTATGTATTTCAAAATATCCTCCCTCACTACACACAAAAATCCTGGGAAATCTTTAAAGAAAGATCTGGTATAAATGAATATAATGGGGCTTTGGTACATGCCAAGATCACCTAAGATAGAGACATCCAAATAGGAGATGTGAGGGACCTGCTTCATTCTGCATTCATCTACCTCACAGGTGAGAGAAGCCTCTTTCCACTGGTTGACTAAATCATTAAAAACTACCAGACTGAATCTCTCTCTCTCTCTCTCTCTCTCTCTCTCTCTCTCTCTCTCTCTCTCTCTCTCTCTCTTTCTTACACACACACACACACACACACACCCCTCAGTGACATCCAGGAGTGAACGTCTCATTTACTCAATGCAGTAACTGAGAAAGAACTGAAGGCAGCTTCACCTCCCCTTAAGAACTGTGGCCCCAAGAGACAGGCTTGGGTTTTTGGTTTTGTTTCATTTGTCTTTTCCAGTTCTAGGTATATGGAGTCTCATGTCCTGGAGCTGGAGCTGGAGCCATGAAGACCTCGGAGCCAGAATTTCAGGCAAGATGTTGTTACATTACCAGTAGGAAAGTCTTTAGAAACCAGGGTCCAGGACACAAACTGAGGGTGGCTCTAGACTTGGAAATTGTGGGACTAATGTTGAATAGGTACTGAGTTAAGCTGTAAATTTAATGCGCTTCTCATCCAAAGAAACCGAGGAGGATTTAAGGATGGGGGATCGTGCCCCAGGTGGGGGGGGGGATGCTTGTATATTTGTGTTGTACTTTTGAAATAAATATTCCTTTGTAAAGACTAACTTGACTGCTAAATGATTAAAGGGAAATAGGGCACCAGACCCCTAAATTGCAGTAATACAACTGGTGCCCGTGGGAGCCAATGGAAGAGACCAGACACCTCCCAAGTTCCTTGACATTATCAGAGAACCTTAGGAGAGAGATGGCATGTAACAGACCTGGCCTCCGGGCATTGGAAACCAGAGAATCACTGTTACACCAACATTAATGGGGAGTCTGGAACAGGATTGAAAATTGATGAATAACTGTTGACTCCAAAAAGGCACTGGTTGACCCTACTAGCTTTTGGTATGACAGGAGTAGATAGAAAAGTTGTTGTTCAGTTATGTCCAACTCTTTATGACTTGATTTGGGATTTTCTTGGCAAAGATACTGGAGTGGTTTGCCATTTCCTTCTCATTTTACAGATGAGGAAACAGAGGCAAACAGGATTAAATGACCTGCCCAGGGTCACATAGCTAGTAAGTGTCTGAAGCCAGATTTGAACTCAGGAAGATGAGTTTTCCTGACTCCAAGCCCATCACTCTATCCATTGTGCTACCTAGCTACGAAAATGTGAAACAAAGTTTATTTTGGTGAAAAGCTATAGGTGCTATCTCAATGTTTTCATACCCTACTAGAAATAATTCCAGAGAATCACTTTGTTTCATCTATGGACAAACTAAAGTAGAAAGTTGAGCATTTACCTAGTGAATTCAGGCAGTGAATGATGTGCCTATGACTCATTCAGGCCCCCAGTTCCACCTAACCCTCCAGAACCATTTCTTAAGATAAGTTGTCTGACTAGGTGCTTTATAGTTTGATTTCACTGTCCTTGGACAGTTGAAGTTATTGAAAAAGCTGCCCTAATCCCAAATCTTTATTGTAAGGCATAAAAAAGAAAGGTCAAAGTCTTCAAGATTTTTTTTTCTACACAGAGAAAGGGAAAAAGATGGCAGGGTTGGAAGAGAAATAGGGAGAAGGAAAAGGGAAGGGATGAGAGGGAGAAACAGAGAGAAGAGAGGCAGAAGAAAGACTCCAACTGAATGAGGGTAAAAGCATTTATTAAGCACTTACTATGTGCAAAGCCCTGTCTTAAGTGCCAGAGATTCAAATAGAAAACTACAGTAGTCTCTTTTCTCATGGAGCTCATATTCTAATGGGGGACACAACACATATAGAAGGTTTCAGCTGCAAGTCAGAGAAGAACCCGTGGTCCTCAGGGTGCAGGGGCAAAGCAGATGGTAATGCATCATTTTAATGGCATTTCCTCTGATAAAATTATACCCATTTCTGACACTGAACCAGTGTGACAATGCCAAGAAATTGATTGATTTGGTCATTTTGACTTACTGCAGGCTGTCCACACAGTTCTTATGTTGGTAGCCATGAGTCTGGGAACTCCAGTTGAGAGTTTCCAGGAATCAGATAAGCTTGGGGAAAACAATGTTGAATTTCACTGAAACAAGAAGTTCTTATGGCTTGCTTCAGCCTGAATTAGAACCATTAGATTGTAAGCTCCCTGGGGATACAGATTGTTTTTCCTTTTTCTTAGAACAGTGCCTGGCATAGGGTAAACACTTAATAAATCCTTGTTTGTTGATTTTGATACCAGTTAAAAAATCTACCAGGCAACAAATATCATAAATCAGTACTTAAATTTTAGAGGGAGAAGGGTCCTTAGAGACCATCTAGTCCAAGCCTCTGATTTTGCACATGAGGCATTGAGGCAAGGAGTTAAATTACGCTCAACGTCACACAGGTACAGGCAGCTAGATGGTGCAGTGAATAGAGCACTGACCCTGAAATCAGGAGGAACTGAGTTCAAATCCTGCCTCAGTCCAAACACTTGACACTTACTATCTGTGTGACTCTGGGCAAGTCACTTAACTCCAATTGCCTAAAACAAACAAACAAACAAAAGTCACACAGGTAGGAAGCAGAAAAGCCAGCATTTGAAACAGGCCTTCAGACTCTATGGCCAGTACTTTCCCCTGGACAACACAACTTCCAAGACCCAAGACCAGTTCCTGCCCCACCTTTATCAATAGCAAAGTCCAGTTCAAAGGTGAGACGTCCCATCTGGTCTTCATGAGTAGCTCGGCAGGCACCCACAGTTTTCCCCAGCGGAGTTTCTTCAGCGAGCATGATGTTGCCTTCTGGAGGGGTTGTTGAGTTCACCAGGGTAGGAGTCAAGACTGCTTCTTCAATGTTAAATAAACTTACTTGAAGAAAAGAATATGAGAACACCATTGGACAGAGTATATGTCTTTTCTCTTTCCTTTAGAGAAAGGGTCTGGCACTGAAAATCCTTGCCCACCAGAATAGTTTTATCAGCAATTTGGTAATGACATGGAGCATGGGTAGGTTCCTTGTGGGGCAGAGAAGGCTAGAGATGCATCTTGACAACTCCAGCCAATGAATCAAAGGGCATATTGCCCTGGCAATGCATTCAGCATATATGACATCCTTCTAGTATAATATCAAAAGCTTTTTTCTCTTTAAAGATCTTTTGCTTTCAGTAAAATCCTTTTTATTTGGGGATTTTATATCCTAGATGTTTTTCCCACCTCTGAGCAAAAAAAAAAATTTAATCAATTTTTTTTGTTATAGTTTATGTTTATTTCCTCCCCACCCACTGCCACCAAAGGCTTTAGAATGCAACAATTTTAATAATGAATTTCATCTGATTCCATACTTAATTGTCAAGGCTGAAGTAAAATTACATATTTTTATTTCCTTACCTGCAGGTGAGAAAAGGGGCCTTATTGTTTACATTGATGAGGAAGACCTTTATGTTTCCCATGACGAAAAGTCCTCCCAGGTCAGCCACTTTAATAACCAGTGAAAAGCTAAACAAGCAAACACACAAAAGCAATAGGAAAGAGCATTTGGGAATGCAGGCATGCTCTCGTCTGGGTCTGCACACAAGACTGGTCCAGCTGTTTGGGCCAAATTCACCAGTCAACTGCATTGATCAAATCCATCAAAAACTTGCCCAAACACATGGCTTATACCACGTTTGAACTGAGCAACATTCTATGTAGTCAAATCAGTTGAGCATAGTGGAGTACCAGGGCTTTAACTATCAAGGTACAAGTGAAACATGGCCCCACAGTGCCATCATGCAGTACCTTTCTTACTGGTCTGCCTCAATGAATCTGCAGAATATCTAACCCCAGGGGTAACATACCCACACTCCTGTCTCGATAGTATACCTCTCCCAAGTCCCCTGTTCTCTTAAGCCCCACATTATGTGAGGGCACAATTCACAGGTGATTGTCTCCCTCTTCTCCTGGCACAGATATACCTCTATGGCCTCCAAGGTCCCTTCCAAGTTGAAATTTACAATCCTTTGACCTGTAAAATGGGGGAGTTTAATAGAATGTTATTTTAGGTGCCTTTCCACTATAAGTCCCATGAGGCAGAGGCAGCTGGGTGGTTCAGTGGATAGAGCACTCATCTGGAATCAGGAAGACCTGAATTCAAACATGGCCTCAGACACTTATTAGCTGTGCAAGTCACTTGCACCTCTGTTTGCCTCAGTTTCCTTAACTATAAAATGGGAATAATAATAATAATAGCACATACCTCCCAGTGTTGTTGTGAGGACAAAATGAAATAATGATTGAAAAGTGCTCAGCACAGTGCCTGACACAGAGTAGGCACTCTATAAATGATTATTTCCTTCTTTCTCAATCATGACTTTTCACAGGTTCATAGGCTTATATCAAGAACCTCAGAGATTACTAACCCAACTCTCTTATCTTGCAGTGAGGAAATAAGGACCAGAAACAAGGCAACTTGACTAATATCACATAGAGAATAAGTGGCATGCAGGGTCATAATTAGAACCCAGGTCCTTTGATTCAAAATCCAACTGTCTTGTTCAATGCCCTCATATGACAGCTAAAAAACACTGAGGCTCAGAGAGATAGTGAGTCACAGAGCCAGGATTTGAACCTGGGTCATCTGAAGCCAAATCCAGCTCCCATGCCACCAGCCCACACTATTTCCTACTGGGACACTAAGCCAGGTATTTTTTTTAGAATCAGTCTTCTAGCCATTAATCCTCCAAGCTCAGACCTTTCAATATCAAAAACTGATTGACAAGAGCAAAGGATTTTGCTTCAGAAACTCTTCTGAATAGGGTGACGATTAAGGAGAGAGATCCAAAGGGTAGGATGATTAATGGGATTCCATTTCAGCAGAGCTGGTTATAGATTTGGAGGAGGAGAGCGCAGGCTATGGGGAAGCTGGATGTTTCCTAATAGGAAGATTACTGTTTGGCTCATTAACATGAGGAACTATGCATAGATGATACTGCTGATTGTTATTGGCCTCTCCCCTCAACTCCCAGGTGCACGGTTTGGTGGCTAGGCTGTTTCCCAGGAAACAGGATTCTATCTACGAGGGCCAAGGAAAGAGACAAGCTCAGCAGTTATCTGGATAATCATATTGATTTAGACAGCAGATCTGGATAATTTGGAGCAAAAGAAACAAAAGAAACAAAAGAACAAAATCCCAAACCTTGCTTATTTCTATAGGGGCAAAATGATCTCAACCACCCACCTCCTAATAGAAGGGGAATGGACACGAGGTACAGAATGGCACTTTTTGGGACAAGGCAAATGTTTGGATTAGCTTGACTCTACCGATTTGTTACAATGATTGTGTCTTCTTTTTTTGTTTGGGGTGGGGTAAAGGGGGTATGTTGAGAGGGCCACCAAAAAAAAAAAAAAAAGGAAAGAGGGTCATTGAAGTATTTAAAAGCACATGGATGTGCACATACTCATGAGAACTAAAGGAAGCAGAAAAGTAAGCAAAAGTAAAGAAAACAACTTTGAATATGACATGTTGGATTCAAATCAATGAGCATTTATTATATCCTTTTAACAAGCTATACACACAGGAGATTTGTGTTTTCACATTTAATCGTTTTCTGTCCATATACTTTATATATGGAAATATTATTTTTTGGGGGGAGGAATTCATTAAACCCAGACTTTTTTTAAATTTAAATAAGGAAAAATGTAATTAATTGCATAGACAGTATCTAGATATTGCTGTTGTTCAGTATATGACTCTTTATTAACCAGTGAGCCATACTGTCTAGAGGGTTTTTCTTGGCAGAGGTATTGAGAGTGGTTTGCAATTTCCCTTTCCAGTGGACTAAGGCAAATAGACATTAAGTGACTTGCCCAGGGTCCCACAAATAGTGTTCCAACTTGGGTCTCCTGACGCCAGCCCCAGAACTCTATCCACTGAGCCACCTAGCTGCCTAATAGCTAGCCAATTACACTCTAACTTAAACCCAAAGTACTCCAATAATTCAGCCCAGAATGATGTTTTTTTACTCAAGATTGTTTAGAAAAAGACATCGTTCTGCAGGATTTCACAAGTTTTCCCAAAATAAAATGATTACTAAGAAATGACATTTGTATAACCTTTAAAGTTCTCAAAGCTTTTTTACATATTATCTTGCTTAAGCCTCAAACCAAGTCCCTGAGGTAGATGCTGTAATTATTCACTTCTGGGATGTATGTTTCTTGAAGGCAGGGACTCTGCATTTCTATGTATTGTATGTATGTAGCACATAGTAAAGCACTAAATAAATGCTTATTGATTAGTTAATTACCAGAGGTTCTTTATCTCTAAGGTTGCTCTGCTGCCTTAGGAAAGTCAATTAACCCTCCTAGGGCCTCAGTTATCATCTCTCCTGTAAAATGGGAGGTTTCATTAAATGATCTCTGAGATTCCTTCTAGTACCAAATCCATGATCTCCAGCTTATAGTTGAGTCTCCAATAGATCTAGTGACTTGCCTAGGGTCGCACAATTTGTAATATCAGAGGTGGAATTTTAACTCAGTTCTTCCTGACTCTAAAGTCCAACTTCCTTCCCATGGCACCATGCACACTGAGGCACCTCTGGCCAGATTCTGACAAATGTAAATTCATGGTAAAAATTGTTTTTATCTAATAAGACTAAAAATTATCAATTAGAAAAACATAATGAACCAGCTAATGAATAAGAGCCAGTTATAATCCTCCAACTACACTTCATCTAGCTCAATGAAGACCGAGTATTTTATTGAAGGGATAGGAAGGTCCTAATGAGCCATTCCAATATTTTCATCAGAAGCCAAACAATGGGGATGCCATTGCTGCTGCTATCTCCCTGGAAGGGATGAATTAACAAGAGTAAATGAAGCAACACCGAAATTTCTCTACCCCTACTTAAAGGTTCAGTGATCCTAGAACCTATTAAAGCCCCAAAGTCAAAGAAAGAAGGAAAAAATAATGAGCACTCTGTTGATCTTTATTGGGAATTCTGCATGAACAATTAGCAAAAGAATTGTGGATTCAAATTTTACAAATGGGTAATTCAATTATTCAGTGCAATAAGCTCCAATTTCTCAGAACCTAAGGAAGGGAAAGGGTCTCACTTGGATTTGTATAAAGAAAGATCAATTTTTAAAAAATAAGTTGTTATTAGTGAACTTTTTTGCCATTAGTTCATGCATTTTTAAATTATAATGCTTTATTTCAACCTGAACTTCTTATTTTATTGGTGGAGATAGAGCCAAGTGGAGAAATTCCTTCTACCAATGCAAACTGGCAACTTTACTGCAACTTACAATCGTAGACAACTGAAATGATTATAATTTTGAAAACAAACATATGATTCTTACTGTCCAAAAAAAAGTCAAGGGATAAACAAGGAAAAGAAGGAATGAAGGAAGAAAGAAAGGAAGGAAAGAAAAAAGGAAGGGAGGAAGGAAAAAAGAAAGGGAAGAAGGAAAAAAGGAAGGAATGGGGGAAAGAGAAATTATATTAGCATTTCACAAATATTATATCATTTTATCCTCATAACAATGTTATTATTGTCTCCATTTTATAGTTGAGGAAACTGAGGCAGACTGAAGTTAAGTTGACTTGCCCAGGGTCACACAATTAGTAAATGGTTGAGGTGAAATTTGAACTCAGATCTTCCAGACTCCAGACCCAGCACTCTATTCACTGGGCCACCTAGCTGCCTCTCTATAAGATACTATTTATAATCCTCTAAACAATACACAAGAAGAGCAAAGATGAGGTGGAACTCTTCCCCCATGGATGATTCTCAGGGGACTTGGGCAAAAGCTCTGAACCTGGAAGCCAGAAAGACCTGAGTTCAAATCCTACCTCAGACACTTAGTAGGTATGTAAAGCACTGAACTTCCAAAATGAGGGGGTTGCCTTTGATTACTTCCAAGAACTTTTGGAGCTCCAAATCTATGATTCTATAAGAGTGGCACAGGATGGGTAAGCATGGATATATTGCAATTTGCACTGTTGGCAGGAATATACCTGCTGATGAGAGTGAGAATTCATTGAACTATAGCAGTAAACACAAAATGAAAATAAAGGATTTTGATCATCCATTTTCATTTTTCTCTGGGTTTTCTTTGTAGTTGAGAATATGGGTAACATCTTTTGGTTAAGAAGCAAATACCACTGTAAATTAAGGAATTTTGTAGCAAAAAATAGATAAAAAGGCCTGTTTGGTGCCTTGAGGCCCAAACCCATTCTTCCTGTTTGCACAAAAGTCTCTGCTAAGGCCTGGATGCTAAGGCTGTTAACATGCAGGTAAGGTGAGCAAGGAATGTGACATCCTCAACTGGCCAAGGTTGTGAAATCTCAGCTCAGGCTCACTACAGATTGGGTTTGAATGGTTATCGCTACATTATCATTTTCTGTAAAGTACCCCGAGACCTAGAAAGCTCCTAAAAATCAACATTAAATAAGAATAATAACAGTGGGCAATGCTTCCCCATTTGGCATTTGCGATTCTACAGAGAAAACTTGAAGATATTGGTCTGGTAAATTTTAAGGTTCATTGGACTATAATGGAATGTTTCTGTCCATAGCCATTCTTACAAAACAAGACTCCATTCTCTATCCATTGAGGAATGGAAAAAGAAATGCTTACACTCTCCCCGGCCCATGGACTTCCATGGAGATTGGGGAAAGAGCACATCCAGCCTTCATTCTATGCACTGCTGTGGTGGGGACTGAGTTCTAAATGGGATAGATGAAGCTAAGGTGGGAAAATAAATTTAATCATATATTTAGAGTTAGGGGAGACAGCAGAGACTATCTAGTGCTGCTCATTCAAGTTACAAATGAGGAAACTGAAGTTAGAGGTTCTAAATGACTTGCTCAATATCACAGAATAGATTGGTTACAAAGGTCACCTATATGTTGTATCTCCCTCCCTCCCACTCCCATACACAAATGAACTGTGGAGGACAGGGACTATTTTGTTTTATTTTGTTTTGTTTTGTTTTGTCTTAGGATCTCTAGAACTCAATCATAGTCCTTTGCACAGAGAAAGTGCTTAGTAAATGTTTATTGAATTGAATCGTCAGGATTTGAACCCAAGCCTTTGATTCCATATCCAACATGTTTTACTGCACTTTCTACAAAAGTCAGCAGTAGCAAGAATACAGGCAGTCAAATAATGACTTTATTCTCAATATCCCCTATTGGTATTAAAAGCATCGATAGAATGGGAGTGAAGCAAGGGATCATGGGAAAAGTACAGAAAAGGGAAATTTCCACAAAAGGAAACAACATTTAGACTGGACAAAATCTGTCTACATTCTTTACCTTTTGGGTCCTCTGTTGAAGTCAAAAGTCATTGTTGTAGATATGGTTCCAATGCTGTCTATGGCGAATCCTTCATCCTCTGGGAAAATGAAGTACTATTGGGTGATAAATAGTCAAGTCAAGTCAATAAACATTTATTAAGCACCTGCTATATGCCAGACATTATGAAAAGTGCTGCAGTTACAAGGAAAGGAAGAAGAAAGTCCCTGACCTCAAAGAACTTGTAGTCATTTGGGAGGAGATAGCACACAAACAACTACAAAGATATAAATAGGGCAAATCTTGGAAAGAAGGCAACTACCAGTAAGGGGAGCCAGGAAAGGCTTCCTATGAAAGAGAATTTTAGCTGAGACTTAAGGAAGCCAGGGAAGCCAGGAGGTGGACATGAGGAGGAAGAGCATTTCAGGCATGGGGGAACAGCTGGGGAAAATGCCCAGAGTTAAGAGATGACACGTCTCATGTGAGGAACAGCCAGGAGGCCCACGTCACTGGATTGTACAGTAAGTTGTTAGAAGAGAGGTGTGAGAAGCCTGGGAAGATAGGAAGAATTTAGGTTATGAAAGGCTATTAAAAGCTGAACAAAGTTGGCTAACCTGATGGAAAAGGAAAATGGCAAATGCTGAAGGGGATATGGAAAATAGGGACACTAGGGGCAGCTAGGTGGTGCAGTGGATAGAGCACCGGCCCTGGATTCAGGAGGACCTGAGTTCAAATCTGGCCTCAGACACATAACACTTACTAGCTGTGTGACCCTGGACAAGTCACTTAATCCCATTGCCTAGCCCAAAAAAGAAAAAAAAAAATAGAGACACTAATGCTCTGTTGGTGAAGTTCTGAACTGGTCCAACCATTCTGGAGAACAATTTGGAACTATGCCCAAGGGATCCAGTAATATTACTACTAGGTCTTTATCCCAAAGAGGTCAAAGGAAAAGGACCCATATGGACAAAAATATTTGTTAACAGCTCTTTTTGTGGTAGCAAAGAACTGGAAATTGAGGGGATGCCCATCAACTGAGGAAGGCTGAACAAATTGTAGTATATGATGGTGATGGAATATTATTGTGCTAGAAGAAATGATGAGCAAACACTTTCAAAAAAAAAACCTGGGAAAATTTTTAGGAACTGATGCAAAGCAAAATGTGTGGAACTAGAAGTGCATCGTAACAGTAACATTGTAACAATCAGCAACTGTGAAAGACAGCTACTCTGATCAATACAATGATCCATGACAATTCCAAGGAACTTATGATGAAATACTACCTACCTCCAGAGAGAGAACTGATGAACTCTAAGGGGAGATTGAAGCATATTCTTTCACTTTATTTTTCTTGGCTCTTTTTTTTTTAACAATATGGCTAATGTGGAAACACGTTTTTAATGACTTCATATGTATAATATTTCTTGTTTTCTTAATCAAGAGGGGAGGGGCAGGAAGGAGAATTTGGAACTGAAAATGAATTATTTTAAAAAATAAATTTTAAATATAATTGGGAAATGTATAACAAAATAAATTAAAAATATAATACATTTTTAAAAGCCAAACATATTTGATGCTAGAGGAGATAGGAAGCCACTGGAGTTTACTGAATAGGGGAGTAACATAATCAGACCTGTACTTTCAAAAGATTGATTTGGTAGCTGGGTAGAGAATGGACTTGAGACAGGGAGGCCAACCAGTCCGCTATTATAATAGTCCAGGCATGAGGTCATAAGGGACTGTACCAATGTGGTGGCAAAGTCAGAGAAGAGAGGGCATAAGCAACAGATGTCATCTAAGCAAAATCAACAGGGTTTGCAATGCAGTGGATATGAGTGGAGGATGAGAGAGAGGAGGAGTCAAGGATTACACCTAGGTTGCAAGCTTGATTGACTGGGAGGATGGCAGTGCCCTTAACAGTAATAGGAGGGCAGCTAAGTGGAGCAGTGAACAGAGCACCAGCCCTGAAATCAGGAGGACTTGAGTTCAAAACCTGCCTCAGACACTTGACACTGTGACCCTGGGCAAGTCACTTAACCCCATTGCCTAGCCAAAAAAAACAAAAACAGTAATAGGGAAGTTAAGAAGAGGGGAGGGTTTATGAATCCACTTATGGACATGTTAAGTTCAAGATATCCAAGGCACATTCAGTTCAATATATCCAACAAGAAGTTAAATAAGGAAGAAATCAAGCACCACAGGTATTACCAAACATCCTCTGATGTAGATTACAGTCCCTCAAAGATAGGACAATCCCCAAGCTATATAGCATATTTTTACCTCTTTCCTTCCCTAGAGGTCTCCAGGCAGTGACTTGATAACCACTTATTATATCTACTGTAGAGGGAATTCTTGTTCAAGTATAAAGGTTGGACAACATGGCATCTGGTGTGTCTTCCAACTCGAAGACTATGTGAGTCCATTTCCCCAAAACCTAACACAGAGCTAAACTAAATACACACTCAAAAACTGTTTGTTTGTTCACCATGGAGATGATTGGATGGAAGCGTGACAGAGTAGAAAGAAAGCTGGCCTCGAAGTCACAAAAACCTGGGTTCAAGTACTGGATTGTGATCCTGGGAAAACATAACTTCTTAAGATCCCCAAGCAACCCTCTGGGCTCCTTATGCTGCAAAGCAGGTGCTGCTTTGGTGAAGGGAGGCCTTCATGGACAGCTCCCTGTACCAATGAATTCACAAGTCTAGTCCAAGGAAAGATAGATATGCAGTTAACAAAACACCATGTCAAGATTATTAGAAAGAGCAAGTTCTTCACTAGCCTCAAAGTATTATCTAAACATCAGCTGCTTTCTAGTCTGAATAAAGTACAAATAAAGTTAAACATAGCAAGTGGAATGCTAAATTCTTGACACCCAGGCAAAGGCCAGATCTACACGCAAATTATGAATACTGCAATCATAAATTTAGGTCATCTGGCCCAACCCTATTGTCTTATAAACAAGGAAACTGAGGCCTGAATTTCCCAAGGTCATACAGGTAGTAGGTACCAGAGCTGGAATTTGAACCCAGGTCCTCTGACACAAATTCTGCTACTTCATTCTACCCCTCAATGATGTCCACACCCAATTAATTGTATGTTTTTTGTAGTTTGGAGATTAAAAAAATAGGCAATCCACCTATCATAAGATTATACACAATGAGTCAAAAAAAGACATTAGAGATCATTGAGTACAACCCCCTTTTTTACAGATGGGGAAATGGAGGCAAAGAGAAGTGTAGTTATTTGCCCAAGGTCACACAGATTCTAAGTGGCAGGGCCAAAATTTGAACCCAGTGCCTATGTTCCAAATCTCTTTCTGCTGCACACATCTATGCATGATATATGAGAGAATCTTTTCCATCATTCAGCTATGATGGAGGAGGAATTTAAGTGAGCAGACCAGCATTAGGGCAAGGTGTGGAGGACAGAACAGGAAATCAAGGAAAGCTAATGATCTCGCCTGTGGATTCAGATTCTCTTCAATCCAGCCAGGACCAAGCAAACCACTTAGCCGAGAAGAGCACATGGATAAGGGGACACCTCGATCTCATTCCTTCACAAGCATTCATCTTTCTCTCTGGAAAACTCCTTCCTACTGAGGCTCAATACTATGGCTTCAGTCCAAAAGGAGAAATTTGCCCCTTGTACAGCTGTCAGAGCTGTAGACAGAACTATGGTCCTGGAGTCAGGACATTGTTGTTCAATAAGAACGACTCTTCATGAACCCATTTGGGGTCTTCTTGGCAGATCAGATAATGGAGTGGCTTGCCATTCATTTCCTTCTCCAGCTCATTTTACAGATAAGGAAACTGAGGCAAACAGCACTAAGTGACTTCCCAGTTTCACACAGCTAGTATCTGAGGCCAGATTTGAACTTAGGTCTTCCTGACTCAGGGCACCACCTAGCTACACAATTAATCAATTTATGGATCCATAATTCCATTTAAATTAATGAAATTTTAATTCATGCAGTTCTTTTCCAGATATCCATAGAAGTTATACAGAACTGACATCCAGCCTGCAGGAAAGGAGCAAATGCTAAATAGGTTTCTGATGATGAATTTTACCTCAAAGAAAACAAGTTCTTAAAACTGCCTATTCCTATACTCCTTTTTATCATTTTAAATGAAAACTTCTAAGTCTAATGGGAGAAACTTCCAAACTAGTCAAATGATTATGAAAGAAGTCTTCCAGACTGTATTGTTATATTGTATTATAATTATACTATATTTGTCATAATATTATATATGTAATATTATATATGTAATATAATATAGTATATAGTATATTATACATAATATATAGTATGTAATATATACTATATTATATGTAATAATATATAATATACTATAGTATAACCAATGTTATACTATAACAGTTTATTTTTTTAATATTGTTGTAAAAGATGATATTGATGACATAAAACAAATATAGATGTAGAGGTGAATGTACCTGCACAATGATCTCTGATTTGCCATGTAAAAGGTCTTAGATTAATCATCATCACATCAGTCTCAAAAGTCCATGGCACAGTAGATTTATTGAATATAGCACCACCTAATTCCTATCCGCCTAGCCCACACTCCACAGGTATGGATCACCGAAAAATAACTTGTGTAGATTACATAATGGAAGTCTCTTTGGACCGTGGGCATAGTCCTATTATGTTGTATATCTACAGTTATTGAGACTCCGTGTGCTTGAGTCAGGATTGCAACATTGGTTTCTTTGGGTCAGAGTATAACTGCAAACTCTAACAACAATTATGTGAAAGACTTTAAGTGTGGCATGATAATATCAATCTCTTGTATTTCAATTGGACATGCTGATTTATAATAACTTGTAAAATTTCATTGACTTATTTTTATGGTTCTTTTCCAGATCATCTTGATCAAATAATCTTAACAAATAATATTAACACTGTCAAGATTAAGTGTTTCCTACAGGAAGAGAGGCAGAATTTTGATGATTCTTCTAAAGGATTGTGCAGCTATGGTTTAAAATTTGGCCTCTCAGATTCTATTGTCCAGCATGTAAGGTTTTTTTTTTCATTATTGAGTCTAAATTCAGATGTCATCTGCCCTGGTTTTAAAGTTGTTTAACTTTGTAATTATTC